TTTCAAGATTCCTTTTTTATTGCTGCCAATAAATATTTAATCAGAAAAGCTAACAAGTTTAGGTTGAAAAGTTAAGCCACCTTTATTAGCTTTATATTGATTGTCCAGTTTACTGTCAATTTCAATTTTACATTTAATATCATAGTTATTATGAAAACGGTTAGAAATGTTCACTTCACTTTTCTTACAAATATTGACAATTTTCACATTTTTACACTTTTCAAATCAAAATTGTCTTATTTAAGACTTCATTTGATTTGGTGATCCATTTCAACTAATCAAAATTATAAAGATTGTCTTATTGAAGGGAAATGTCGTACTTACAAGGGAATGTTTTGTTTATTATCAATTCTGTTGAGCTATAACAATCATTTTAAATTAATTAGTCAAAAGTTTCTAAATCATTCAAATCAAACAAAAAAGAGTCACCAGGACTTGAACCCAAAAACTCCATACTTTCCCTACTCTTTTACCTACGAAGCTAGACTTTTTTCAGACAAAATTAGTTTTTAAAAATGATTTTGAAAAATACATCAATTTTAAACCAGAAAATCTCAGGAACCACTAAATCTCCACACCAGTGTGTTTGTATGGATTGCGCTGTTCCATCAAAAAGTGCTGATACAATCTCGACATTCCCTTGTTATCGCACTGCGAGCTATTAAGGCTCAGCCTTTGACAGGAATGTTTGCTCACTATGTTGAAGAATCTTTCATGAACAAATTAAAACATGTTTGAGAACGATATTTAGAGGCATAAGTTTGATCTTTTCTGTAAAGTCTAGTAATTTCATATTCCTGGAATATCAAAATTTAATTTTGCATCATTGGATGTTTTGTGATTGATTGTTGCGAGTTAAGCTGATTTCATTGAAAGGTAAACAATGAAATTTGTGCAAACATGAAAACCAATTCTGGTTTTACGATCAATTACAGATACAAGTAACCTGAAAATTGGAAGAACGTGTTGAAAATGAAAGGAAATTGGTGTGGAAAATGCGTGCAACATTCAATGAAATGCTCATGGAATCACAGATCATTTAGGGTTCAATTTGATGAATCAGAAAGTAATCTTTCAAGTTGTGATTCAGGTTGTGTTGAACATTTATTTTCATTTTGCACCAACCAAATGGCTAATAAGGGAAAGTTATTTGGACATGAAGATAAGAGGAAGAATTATTGATAATATGAAAACATTATTAGCATTATAACTCTCATGATTAGCTGATAATATTTTTATGTGTGTTGTGAGTTGAGTTGATTTTTCTTCTTGTTTTTACTCATTCGAGTCAATTTATGTCATTTTCATTGGTGAACAATTCAATACAGATGAAATAGTGTGTAAAAAATAACAGAATCTTGTTTCAATACATTCCTTGTGCATTTCTCTTCATTATCATCATCATCATTATCTAAAGAAAGAAGAAAAAATATTCTCCATTCTCTTCGTCAGTTCTTCTCCTTCTTCATGAATCATCTTCCCATCTCCACTTGATTCAAGTAATGTTACTCAACTCTGTTAGGAACAATATTTGATGAAATAAAAAAAAGACAACAGACACCAAGTTTGTTAGAATAATAAGTCAACATGAAAGAAGAAATGGGAAAAAGTCAGAATCACTTCTCTTCTCTTGATTCAATTCTACCATGATTACTATCAGTCTTATCATCTTTTCCAACTTTCTCTTCCTTTTCGTCTTCGTTTACTAGGTTATCCAGGGAAAGGAAAGGGAATAACAATGCAAGAGTTGAGCATGAACGACAGTTGAGACGAACTCTACAAACCAAGGAAAAGGAGTAAAAAGAAGATGGTGAAGAAGAAACGATGATAATGATGAAGATGAGGATGAAAAGAAGAGGAAAAGTGAAGTTACAACGCAACTCATACCATGTAAGGGATGAGAAGCCTACGGGTTTACTATGAATCTTTCAGGAAAAAAAGAAAATCAAGAATCTCTTTATCATCATCATTTTTGACCCATTATTCCCTTTCCTTTGGTGGAAATTTTTAAGACTAAAATTGCTTTCCAAGTCATAATCTTTTTATCCTGATTTTGAACAAAAAGACAACCAGAAAAGATGAATTTTGTTGGTGTAAAAAAAGAGTGGAAAAGGAAGCTTCGCAAAGAGACGAAGCAGAATTTTCCAAATAATGAATGAATTGCATCAGAGAAGTGAGAAGGGTGAGAAGGAAGATGAAGATGGAAAAGGCCTTTGAATTATAAAGTGAGAAAAGCAAAGTTTACTGAATGTTATCAATGAACTTTCGGTATCGATGAAAACTCGATCAATATTTAATATTGTTCAAGTTTTTTGTTTTTACATTTCATTCCATTATCACTGGATCAAGATGATCGTTATCTTCATCATCATCTTGTTTGGTAGACTTGCATTTCTAGATGTTGAGCTTCTTTGCCTGCAAGGTGAACGCGAAAATGTATTAGCAGGTGAAAGGCAATGAAAATGGTGAAAACATGAACAATCTGACTTTACATTGGAAAACAATTTTATCAACTTCTTTTTATCTTATCAACCTTCAATTTTCATCTTCCCTGTCTTCTGATGTCTTCCCTAACAAAGTCATTTCCATGCTCTAAGGGCAAAAATTCCCTGGTGAAAATAGAATGGAATCGATATTTTTGGATTTGATATTCTTACATTTGTATACAAAAAATGGTTCAATCTTTTGTAGTTTACTTTTTCGAAATGAATTTTCAGGTAAAATGACAAACTTCTCAATCATGAGTGAAATATCATTTGTTTCACGCTGTTAGCCTCATTTTTGTACAGCTAATGAATCCAAGAATCTTTTGTCTGCAGATTGATATTACCTTGCCATTATTATTAGTATTTTCATTTGGTCAGTTGATTTGATGGTCGAGAGAGAAAAGAAGAAAAAGTCGATAAAATAGTGATTTAATAGATTTTGATGACTTTTTTTAAAGAAAAATAATGATAGATGAAAGTTTCTCCCTTTTCTCAAATAATTCAATTTAACCTGAAAATGTTGACCAATGGAAGCAGAAAAAATAGTTGTCTCTCTGATGATTGTGGCCAAGCAACAATAAAATACATTAGTAAATAATAGAAGTGATTTGATAATGATTATGGCTATTTATTTGGTTGAGAGGCACAAGATTAAGATGCTGCTTGTTAAACAATTTGATATCATATTTCTGGTTCAGGCAAAAGGCTAATGAATAATTAATTGATATATTATAGTAATTGTCATTTTAAAGAGAGGCAATAATATTAAGGATCAGATGGCAACAATTAAATGGTCCTTAAATTACGTGGTTAATTAACATTGCTATACGATTCTTTGCCTATTAATCATTTGAGTAACAACAAGGCAACAGAGGAAAGCCAAAATCATTTGATAATCGTTGGAAAAGCAAAAAATGATCGAAACTTCGAAGAAGAAGGAGAAAAAAACGAACCTTCTACGTAATTAGCTTGAGCAATGAAATGTTCAACTTTAAAGGTAAAGAAATTTTGATGAGCATCAAATTAACTTGAAAGGTATAATTATTGCTATTCAACATTCACTGTTTAATTAATGAATGCAAAATTAGCTGATAAATTTTAATCAACAGTTATTAGTTTAATATTAATTCACATCTGATTGGAGTTACTCCTTCAATTGAAACCTTTTTATCGATTTAATAATGAGAATGAGAATGTGTAAAGACTGAAACATTACGTGTTGAATCACTTTAAAGTTTAACTGTTTAAAACACGACATCAACAGTTTAATATTGGGTATAAATATGGTGTACTTTGGCTTACTTAGGCATTCGATTTATGCACCTCGAATAGTGACCTTAGTGATGTGTTAAGATGTTGAGTTCTGAAGTTATGATGCTTCATTTTGAATCAGTTTTGTCACTTCTGTTCAAGAATTTTGTGTTAATTTTCTATCTTTTTTCTGATTGGTGTTATTTGGTTGCTTTTGATATGAATTTTGAAACTTCATCAGGTAATTGGAATGATGAAAGTGAGATTGACTTTGAATCTGCTTTTGTCATTTTCAGTTGAACCTTTGCAGAGATTAAGCAACAAGAGTTGGGTGAAGAACAAAAGACATTGGAACTTTTCTTGAGAGATGATAGAGATTTAATAGGTCAAGTTGTTCACTTCATTAGTTTTGTTGAAAATAAAAAACTTGAGATTGAAGAGAAAAATTCGTCTCTCAGTTTTTGTCATCCTTCAGTCCAGCTTTTTTTGCTTCTTGTTACCCAACTCTTTATTCAACTGAATCTTTTTCAATGGTTCAACAAAAGTATTCAATTTTCATCAAGAGTTTCCAGTAAACTGTCTACAGTAGGAATCTGTACAAAAATAGATTGGATATTCATTGAATGTTTTATAGTAAAAGTGAAAAATGAAATTTCCTCTTTTGCTATAGCATTATAAATATCAATTATGTTTGCTTCACACTTCTTTCAAACTATCAAAGCTTTCAATTGTTACAAAAAGATCAATACAATTAAAGAAAGGATTAAACACCTATTCATCGCCATTGTCATTTGATTATTTTTCATGAGCAAAAAAATTATTATCACCAACATTCACATTAATCACATCATTATCCTTTTTTGGGTGATATTGATTTTTATCATTTGGTTATTATTGTTATCATTTGGCAACAGAGATGAATGAATTAACCAGAAATAAGCTCATAAATGAACTCGTAAATTCAATCAAAGTGGACTGGAAACATTGAACATTAGTCTGAATGTCATTTATCCAGTTTTGTCTGAAACACTGTTTCTTGATCGAAGTCGATCAAAGGACAATTGTGTTTCTGGTAAAGAGTAAAAAATGGAACCAATAATGATAATAATGGTTCCAGTGCTAATGATTAATAATAGCAATGATAATAATAGTCCAATAACAGTGAGAGTAATTGTAAAATAGTAAGTGAATGGAAAAAAGTGAACCATGATAATAACATGGTGACAATGAGATGAACTGCATTTGATGGAAACTTGTCCTTACCTCTTTCGGAGATAATATTGAAATATAATCTTCATATATTATTCGTGCCTTCTCTTCGATAACTTCAGGATTGGATTCATTCTTGAGGTCTTCACAGGCCAACCAGAAGAGTATATTTTCCTCACTATATTCACATTTCAAGAAATCACGAAAAACTTTACGTCCCCCTGAAAAAAAGGTAAGAATATAATAGACATTAAAAGATAATTGAGTAACAAGCTTAAAAGGATAAGTAAGTTACATTATTTGATTTAAGTTATTAAATATTATTTTTATATTTTCTTCTCAATCTTTTTGTTTTGTATTTTTGCTGAATTTTGCTTCAATTTTTTCCTTCTTCTTCTTTTTTGTTCATTCTTTTTCGAACAGTTTTTTCTTGGAAAACATTTCGAGGTTTACGTTTCTTTCTTCATTGATTAAATGCTGACTATTCTCAGTTGGAACTGATGCTGAAACTGAAGTTGCAATTGAAGAAGAGAATTAAAAAAAGAGAAAGAATAAAAAACGATAATGTTGATTGTTTGATAATGATAATGATGTTTAGCTTTTCATGTTGCATTTCGATGCTTTTCACAGGATGATGGAAATTTAGTTTTCATGGGAAAAGATCCGAGTATTGGACTTACATGGACATTTCATTAGTTTATCGAAAGACTCTGCCCATAACCTAATTTCCTCTAAGGATGGCCTAGAATGAGAGAAGAGAAATGAATTAGAATAAGGAGAAAATAGTTTTAGAAAAAAGGAAATGGATCAAGTAAAAGAATTGTAAAGATGAGAAAAAAGGCGAAAATTTTTCACAACTATTGTCACCCTGAGGAATCGGTGGTGACAGGTTAGCATAACTGAAATCGTGATAATACAACGAAAGTGAAATGCTACAGAATTTAGACAAAATGGTTCAAGAACCAGATGAGCTAAATATTGGCTCAAATTTGGGTTGTTTGAGTGATACATTTTGTTATCTCTTTTTTGCTCATCTGAATGGGAAATGGAAATCAAAATGACCATTTTTTATGTTATGTGCAGCTGTCATGTTTTTATCAGTTGAAGAGGTTTCATCAATTGAGGTTGAAATTGAGAAATGAATGCAAAGTTCATGGCTAGGAAAATTGATGAAAGTCATGATCGAAATGAAGGAGAAAGGTTTAATGATAAACTTACGGCTGTTCACCATTTCCATTGAAATAGTGTTCTAATGATGAAGATGGTTGGATGCGACTGTTTTCCTTACCAGTTTTACCTTGATTTTTCACCGGCAAGCTGTCATTAAATGGACTAATATTAATATTTATTGTTAATTTATCTGTTCACTTTCATGGATCAATTTTAAAGTCTCTCAATTACTGTAATTAGGAAAAGAGTGAGTTTCTTGTTTACAACCTTTACCTCAAAATTATGCAAAAATGGGAAATAGGAAAGAAACCAGAATTTGAGGAATGAAAATAAGGTGGATAAAGATAAGAATAGTATAAGATGTTGATTTTCATGATTTTCATGATGATGATAATAAAGTTGTTACGACATGGGATGTTATACGAGAAATTATTGGAAAACGTAAACATGGGAAAGAAGAGGAAAAACAACTCGATAGACTCTACAGTTTTACATGCATTATTTTACATGGAAGCTTAATTTATTCACATAAATCACGGTTGAGGTGGTTTGGAAGGCTGCTTTTGAAAAATAAATGGGAGTGAAAAAGATTGAAATATTTCAAGAAATAATATTTACTGGTTTACTCTCAATCCTGTGTTCAGGTTAATGTGTAAAAAAAGTAGATATGAAACATGGAAATAATGAATAAAAAAAAGGTTGAACCAACAAAATCAACACATCAGTATCGCTATAGTCATCATTTTCAGTGTCATTTGTTTCCAGAAAACAACTTTGAAGACAGTAATAAGGAGAAAGAAAGAGTTGTACTCATCAGGTTTTATCTCTATTTTTCCTGGTAAAGGAAGGGTGCAAAAGCAGTGTGTGTGTGTGTGAGTATTCAATAACTCATAGATATATGTACAGTTGAAGAGGAACATGTAAAGAGGAGGTGAAATTGTTCACTAAACTAGGTTCCAAGATTCCAGGTCAAATATCGATTTTTGTTCCTATCAACAGAAGGTAGCCATTTAGTCTGTTTTCAAAATAAAAGTTAACGTTATTTTTTTGTCTCCTTTTTGTTCACTTTTTTGCAAGAGATTGTGCATGAAAAAATGTATTGAAATTTAATTTAATTCATTGACTAGAAAATTTTAAATTAAAATTGAAAATTTGTCTTCATGTTTAAGGGTTGTTTACCATGGAAAACATATTTTTTTTGTTATATGATAATAAATTGTAATTTTTTGATTGCTTCCACAATTGATGCGTGATTTTGGGTACACAGTAAAGTTTCATCAAGTTATATTGGTAAACAATTTGTCTGTTTAAAGCAATATAATTCAATTTTACGACACTCATTGAACCGATGGGTGAACCTGATAACAATATTGACTACAAAGCTTACCAGGAACATGAGCAACAACAACACCAACAAAAACAGCATGATTTACGGTCGTGGGCACCAGATTGTTGCGATTGTTGATTTGATGTGGCATTTGTCCCACCATTTTCAACACTAGCACTATTAAAACAATGTTGCTGAATATCACCCGATTCCCCTGAAACACCATCACCTGTAACTTGAGTAAATCCCGTATGATGAGGATCATGGATCATCTCTTTGAGTGCGTATTTCTCCTTTTTCTTGCTTCCCTTTCTCGATGATTTACGCCATTTGCTTCCTGTGTCACAATTTCCTGAACTTGAGCCGTTCATGTTATTCTCATCAACATCTTTCCTCTTGGAATCACTTGATCCACTTCCGGATCCGCAAAACAGTTTGGTACAATTTGATCGACCATTATTACTGGATGAAGAGGCTGGTGTTGCTGAGGAACTAGGAGATGAGGATGATGAAGATGACTCTTGGTGAGATTGCTGCAAAGATAGATGCTGATGTTGTTGTTGATGATGATAATGCGATGTTTGCTGGGTGGATGAGGTATTAGAAGAACAGGAAGCTGTCTGCTGATTAGATGATGATGATGGTTGGGAAAATTTACTTGCTGCCTCTGTTTCTTTCCTTTTGTTATTACTTGTGGTGATTTCACTAGTCTCTTTAGTCCTCTTATCTTCTTCGATTGCATCACCTTCTCCTCCACCTCCTCCACCCTCACACTTTCCACTTGCTTCTGATGTAGCTGAGCATATTCTTGATGTATTATGGACTTCTGTTGATGATGGATGAGGCTGAGTTTTATCACTATCGCTGCTTTTACTTGTTCCTTGTTGAGGTTTATTAGTGGTTGTTGTTGTTTCTTTCTGGTTATCTTTTTCATTACCTTGAGAGTTCGAAGTGTTTGCAGATAATTTCTCTTCTTTAACCCCTTCATGTTTGGCTATTGGCATCTAATTATTCCAAAGTAAGTAAGCAAAAAAATCCAAATTTGGTAGACACACAAAAGAATGGATGAATCCAATGATAATCACATTTGTTGTTTACAGTTTACAGTAAAGGGAAATATTGAGTCGTTCATTAATCACAGAAATCCAAATTTGTAATTCAATAGTGAACCATGAAGATGATAATATGCAAATGAAGAAAGGGAAGAGGAAAAAAAGAGTAAAAAAAACAAAATGAGAACAAGTTCATAGAATAATAAGCTTGATAATTGAAAATGTAGAACAGAGAGAAACAGAGAATGAAGAAAAGGTTATTTTTGCACAATAATCAGAACGAATAGTAACTTGGTTTACTGTGGTGACACTAATTTATTAAAAATCAATGCTCCAAAGCATTCAGAGATTGGTGTTGAACGTTTAATTTTTGCTTTTTAATTTACCTGGCTAAACCATTTAATCTAATAAGATGTTATTTGACGAATAGGAAATCAATGATCATCGATCAATTCACGGATAGAAAAGAAGGAAAGAGACAGAGAGAGACAGAGGAAAATGGACTAATTTTTACCAGGGTAATGATGACGGCACAACAATGGACAATAATCAAAGGAATGAGGTCGAATTATACCTAGGAATGATGATGGAGCACCAAAAGAGTAACCATTCAATGAATGTAACAATCAGATTCTTTACACAACAAAAAATTCACATAAATAGCATGGTAATCAATTTAAGTGGAGTAACGATTGATTGGAGCTTGGGAAAGTTGAAATTGAATATTTGACATGACCAGAAAAGGGAAAAAGGAAAGCATTTCTTTTGTTTAAATTGGTTACTTGTGGCCAACAAAATGGAAAATAATTAAAACATTGAAGATAATCCAGACTTATCAAGTAGCAAAGAGTTAAGAAAGATTCTTACATTGATTAGTCTCAAAGTCTTGTTTTTATAAAAATCCCGCCTTATCTTTGTCTAAAGACAATTTGCCTTATCACTTTCAACTCTGACTTAATTTGACGAGACAAAACAGTTTGCCATTTTTGTTTTGATTGAAAATCTCTCTTCAAGTCTACCAACTGTTCAATCTTTTTTCATCATGAATATTTGCTATTTTTTGTTCATTTTTTGATTTTGTTTTTCTTTTGAAAACTGAGTTCAACACCATCTTTAAGTACTACAAATCAAGGTAAGAATGAAATGATGAAAATGATAAATCTTTTATAACAATTACATTCCTTCTAGTCAAACATCTTCTGACTATTTTTCATTTCGTTTTTCTAGTTCAATTGGAGCAATGAGTTAAAACTGGCGTTATATCAGTTAAATGAGCAAAATTTAAGGATAATCAAGCAAAGTCTACATGAACATTGGAAAAGTGTGAAATTATTGCAACATCAATCATTACTTTGGATGCAAGCAAAGAGATAACGTTGAAATTTTCAACATCAACAAATCATCAAAAAAGGAACTGTGCAAAAATCTAAATGGAGGAAGCTAAAGGAGTCTAAAGAATTTATCGATCATCATCTTGATGTTCACTTACCTTGTTTTAGTATCACCATACATGAATCATTAATGGTCTTTAATTGAAACAATATAACCATCACAATTAAGGTTTTTAGTTAAAGTATTATCACTGAAAACACTGTGTATCAATGAAAATGCGGACATTTTCCTTCCTTCAATTTGATTCCCACACTTACACACACACTCTCATCTCCACTCTTTCTCTCTTTCTACATCTATCCTCTCTCCCTATTTTTTCACTCGTATCCACACAACCTACAACCATATACACTATGTATACTCACTTGATCAATAGTATTGATCAACAAAACCAAATTTCGAGTTTTCTCTCTTCTCTCTATCTTTTTCCTCCCTGTGTTTGTACCATACCTTTCATTTCCCCTTTTTTGCTCACACTCTCACAACCAAAGTGGAACGCATGAGCCTTAGTTTCATCACAGCAGTCATGTTCACTTCCATACAATTTCATCAAGAACCAGAAAAGGAAAGAGAAGCCCTGAGGGGAAATAACCATCAAAAGCAAGAGTTTCATGGAAGACAGGTGGAGACAGACAAAATTTTCTAGGCTGTGTAATACTCTTGCTCTTACATGCAATCTCCTATCTGACCTTATCGTGGAAGATGATCAGTTTTTACACAGACAGAGAGAACCAAAGTAAGCCAAAATGAGAAAGGAACCAGAAAAAGTTTAAAAAGAAAGAAAGGTCACCAGTCTCTCATTCGAGTTTCCCTCTTCCTTTATCATCTTCACCCAGATAGAAGAGTTGATGCTAATGGCTTCAATCAAAAGTTTCAATAATTTGGCAAAAATTAATTTCTCTTTCATCTTGTTGCAGGATTGAAGACACAAATATCTAAATGGGAAATACATCGTGAGTTTCAGTGACCGCAAAAAATGCTTTCATTTGATCAATCTTTTTAAATGGATGAAAATTACGTTACAATTGCAGAGAAGTGATTCCATTAGTCGATTCAGATGATTTTGTTTTTTATTTTATGATGTTTCAATCTCATCCGATAGTTTTTAGGCAATTTCAGCATAATTTATAAATTTCGTAACTTTAAATAGCAAAATGCACATCATATTAGCATTAACACATTCAATTTTACATTCAATATTAGCAATACTATTAGTTTATTTTTTTAAACAGTAAATGTGTCAACTTAATTGAAATCATCAGAGGTTAGAATGAAGATTTTCAGCTCAATGATTGAAAATGCATTAGAAAATGAAAATTGAATACAACCGAATACAATTTATACTTAATTGTCTAGAATTTAAAGGCGTGAGGAAATAAAATTTAAAATTTTATAGAATTTCAATTTATCCAATCCCAATAATTCCAACTCCAGATGGGGATGGTCTTGGTAGCGGTGGTAACATCAAAGTGCATTCTTCACCTGATCCATCATCATCTGGACAAACACAGGTTCGTGATCGAGGACCAGACTGTAAACATAGATGTTTACAGCCTCCATTACGGATTCTACATGGATTACTCATCGCCGGACAAGCTTCGGCCATAGCCACTATACCATGAAGCCGTCCATTTGATCCTTTAGGTATCATTAAGATTTCTTCTTTGCCTCCATTGCGACCAACTCTGTGGACATTATTCCTATCAAAAGAGCAAAACGTTAAAAAATTATTAATTATTTATCTAGAATATCGACTTTGACTTATACAACTGGAGTTTGACTGAAAATTATAAAAACGATCTATTAATTTTTATCAATCTTTTCAATCATTCACAGCTATTCGGTGGTGAATTCAATATCAATCAATTCAACACAAAAAGAAATTCACCCTGACGTCCAGGTGCCATAGGTAGACGAGCAAAAGACATTCCTTGGACAGCAACTGAATAAGGTCTATCGTAACGATTGTTTGGTGAACAATCGAGTCCATCTCCGGAAAAGCCATTATTACATCGACATTTGTATTCACGGGTTGTTGGAGAGAAAACACAACCTTTATTGCATTCACATTTAAATTGCTTTTCCTCTAAATTGAATTTACATGTTGCATCTGCATGGCAATTTTTGACAACATTGCAAGGAGCTTTATCGTTCGAAACACAAGTGTTCTCAATCATGGCGAAACCTTGAATACAAGTACATCTTCCACCGTCAACAATTTCTGGTAGTGGGTCGCACTTACAAGGGAACTATTTGACTTGACTCTAACACTTTTCAATGAGACATACCTCAATCGATAGGGCCAAAATTTTTGATAAACACCCTGGTGTCCGTTTTTCTGCAAATTTTGTGGTTCCTTAGATTTTCGGGATTAAAGTTGAGGCATTTCTGCTTTAGTCAAAATCTAAAATCTAAAATCTTTAATCAAGTAGCTACGGTGGCGCAAGGGTTAGTAAGCAGGCAAACAATTATGTAATTTTTGGTTCGAATCACGTTTGGGGCAATTTTTATGAATTTTTTTTTATATTTTTTTACGTTTAATTTCGATTTATTATTGCCCCTGGAATCGTTTAAAACAATTAAAAGCAAGGCACCGTGACATTATGTGCGCCGATACGATACTCAAGATTTTAAGCTTTTAGCTGATTCTTTCTAACCTTTCTTTTCCTTGATTAAATGTTGAATTATAACATCTGACATGTTTTCACGGTAAGCATACATGTACGAGGTGTTTAAACGGGTAGGTTAAACTTTAGGGCTTTATATCTCGAGAAATAGGTGCACGATCGCGGTCATTCTAATTTTATATTAATAAGCTTCACCAGGAATTTGAGAATGTCTAAAAGACAGAGTATTTAGAAGCGAAACAAAAGCGCTCACCCGACTCGAAAAAGCAGTTTATAATGGGATTATAACATTTCAATGGAAACTTTTCACAAATTTATTGCTGTATTTTTGAAAATCGTCTGATAGCGTTAATTTTAAAAAGGTGAGGGTATTTCGAGCACACATATCATTAATTCCCGATGAAAATCTATTTATATACAAATTTTCAGATCAATAAACAAATCCGTTCTAAAGATATAGCCGTTTACTTTTTGACCTACCCGTTTGAACACCTAGTATCTATCTCTGTACAAACTGTGGACAGTCGAAAAGATTAGCTCACAAACAACCAAATTACCATTTTGAGTGGTCATTGCCTGAGATGAAAAGCAAGAAAATGAGATCTTAAAGCTAATGTTTGAATTTTCAATGAATGAAAGTTTAGAAAGCCGAGATAACTTCCGGGTTACTCTTTTAGATGAAATTTACCAAATTTTTAGTAATGAACGGGAGAATAGCTAATTTTTAAAGAAATTTTAGAAGTAAAGTTGTAATTACAACTTTACTTCCATCAGGGGAAGGTTTAGCGGCCCAAATCTAACCACAATCTTTATGAATGGAACCAATTGTGATCCCATCTTTTGAATGTAAAACTGCTTCTCTGTTGGTTCCACTTATAACCAAATAATCACCACTAGAAAAACTCTGTAATGATAATGGTTCGTATCCTAATCTGTTCCAAGCTATAACAAGAAGAGTTACAGTTTATTTTAAAATCCCACGATTTGTAAAATTTTATTACTTTTACTTTCCATTGTCAATAATTAGTTGACTTACTTGTTCACCAGAAATGTCAAAAGAGTTAATGATTTAGACCAGTCGGCAGTGGCAAATGTTATTGTCTCGTCATCTTTGCTTGTTATAAATGTGATTACCCGAATTGAGCCAGCCTCTGAACTCATTTTATCAATCCTTGGTTTCTCCTCTCGAACTCTTGAAACATTATAATTGAGATGTGATTTGAATTGCTTTATTTTACCCTTGATCTGATTGAAATGTAACCAGCATTTGTCCCCAAAGCCAAGTGATGACCATCGAAGGACCGAGCACAACAATTGATTGGAAATGATATTTTATGCTTTATTACAGACTTCTGGTCGGGAGACCAAATACCAAAATCTAGATTAGCACAACTAACCAGTTTACCAGTATTAATTGAATTGAATTGTAAACATCGGACACTTTCATTATGCCTGATTGAGACCAAATAAAGACAATAAAAAACAGAATTGTTACTAAAAAGAAACAATAAACACAAACTTAACTCTTATGCACAAATTGACACGAGTACTGGAAAACAAATGGCCAAAAACGGGTAAAAATGAGTTTCTTGCAAAGGAGTGGTGGTAAAAAATCTGACTTTCGAGTTAAGAGTTGAGACTTTGTAGGTTTGTAGGCCCACAAAAACTGAGTCCATTAGTGGTATTAAAAAATTTCTCAGATCGACAGTTTTCGAGAAAATCGAGGTCAAAGTGAAAACTTCGATCGCCTTTTGTTCAATTATGGAATAAGATTTTTTCATCAAACTTATTTTTCTGGTATAACTTTTGATAGCCAATCAGAAAATGCACTTATTTTGGGAAATTAAATTCTCTGTTTCTGTGCAACAGATCACTTCGATTTTCCGTTAAACCTCCGCCATTTTATGCCCATGATAGCTAGAGGTCTAAAACTTATTATTTGGCAATGAAAGTTGTAGGTACATATCATCGATTGAAAACTTTTTTCAATTTATCAACAGTTCTCTTGATTTTGGCCATTGGCCTGAAAACTTTGAACCTCGATATCTCGCGAATGGTAGTACCCAACATCACCATTTTTCATTTGATCATTAGCTTTTGTCATGAGCTCTAACATCAGACTATTCAATATTTAAAAAATTGAACTGATTTTCATTTATTATCGGAGCGTAGTGAAACGAAGTGGAGATTTAGACTCAGCTTAGCCATTTTGAAAATCCACTTTTTGATTTCTTTTTTCACGGCTACAGCCTAAACGACTTATCTAAATATGTTCAAACTTTATATAGAATGTATGGAACTTGTGAAGATGTGCAGAAAAGACTTTGGAGGCCATCGGAGGTCATTTGTCGGGAATTAGACCTTTGACCTCTATAGGTCATTTGAAGGTCATTTGAAATTTTTCAATGAATTTTCATACATCTTGCAAAGATTCGACATTATATCTGTGATAGTAATCGTAATATGAGCCAAAATACGAAAAAAAGTTTGAGAGCCATGCGATGTCTATTTTTTGTGAACCTAATATCTCATGATCGGATATACTTCTAAACTTAGTATTTGTAAACTGATTGTTTCAGGGCATTTTGCAGAGCTGGAAACAAAATTAATTACGGCCATCGAAGGTCATTTTTGATAATTCGACCTTTGCACTTAAGAGATCATCTAAAGATATTTTGAGAATTCACCATGTATTTTGATAACTCTCTTACAATTTTAACATCGTAGCACTAATATAAACCGCAATTGGAAACGGAACCTGACTCAACCTGACACCGTTAGAAGCAGATTTCACAGCCCAGCATGGAGCAATAAACTGTTCATAATTCGTAATGTTACAAATGTTTTCAAAGATTTTGTAGACAGCTATTTTTTAGTTTCTAATCTTTTGAACAAGATTTCTGATGAAAGTAAATGCAAAAAAATGGTCGGTACTGGATGGTGTAGGAACAGTGATGACGTTGACTCAGATACATTTATTTCTACAGTAAAGTACCAGATGTTGTCACTGAATTAATCAATGGCCCCTCAAACCCTTTGTTTACATTCCTTATCAAGAAAGTTTTTGTTGGAATGATTAGGATTTTTCAAGAAATTGAATATCCTTGCGAATTTCAACTTGCTTTGGAGATTGTTGATGTTAATTGCAAGCTTTTCTGACACTTAGTTTAAATCCTGTAGTTGTTTTCGATTAATTTATCATGATATGCTCATTGAATAGCTTTTGCTGTAAGCTAATAAGCTATTTCACTGGAGTGACACTATCTGGTACTTTACTGTAGATCTTTTCTCGATTTTTTATTCCAGTCAATGGGCTCATTGAATCTAGATAAAAATACGTCAGCTTCAATTCGTTACTAACGCTCCGATTTCGACGAGCGATCGTCTGACCTAGTTAATAGATAACTTTCTAACTCGTCATAAGATTTGTCATTTAATAATCATTCACATTAATGAACGAAGTATGCAATCTGAAAAACAAGAAATTCAATGCTATAACTAGTTTTTATGATTGTAAATGTTCAATATAATTAAGTCCATGACAAAAGCTGATGATCAAATGAAAAATAATGATGTTGGGTACTACCATTCGCGAGATATCGAGGTTCAAAGTTTTCAGGCCAATGGCCAAAATCAAGAGAACTGTTGAAAAATTGAAAAAAGTTTTCGATCGATGATATGTACCTACAACTTTCATTGCCAAATAATAAGTTTCAGACCTCTAGCTATCATGGTCATAAAATGGCGGAGGTTTAACGGAAAATCGAAGTGATCTGTTGCACAGAAACAGAGAATTTAATTTCCCAAAATAAGTGCATTTTCTGATTGGCTATCAAAAGTTATACCAGAAAAATAAGTTTGATGAAAAAATCTTATTCCATAATTGAACAAAAGGCGATCGAAGTTTTCACTTTGACCTCGATTTTCTCGAAAACTGTCGATCTGAGAAATTTTTTAATACCACTAATGGACTCAGTTTTTGTGGGCCTACAAACCTACAAAGTCTCAACTCTTAACTCGAAAGTCAGATTTTTTACCACCACTCCTTTAGGTTCTGTTGCTTTGAAGGGACATGAAAATTGAATCTTTTGTGCGATTTAAGAACTTTTTTGATCAATAGTTTCAAGAAAATCGAGTTTAAAGTTGAAATTTCGTTCGCTTTCCGTACACTTATGGGAGCAGTTTTTTCATGTAACTTCATTTCTCTGATGTTATTTTTTATAGCAGAAAATGTTATTTATCAAAGTGAGTACATGATCTTGTTGGCCATAAAAAGATACATCAGAGAAATGAAGTTACATGAAAAAACTTGTTTCGATGACGATAGCAATGTCAGAATTTTGAATCGAAAGTTGATAAAACTTTCAGCTCATGAGAAATTCATAAAACAAAACTGGACAACCAGATTTTAAACATCGAACTTTGATATTCATAGATTATATTATTAGTTGGGATCCATTAATTAGACTGATAATGTTTTTGCACCAATGACAAGGACATTTTGTGAGTTCATTCAGGACATTCCAGATGATTTTACGAAATATCATGTAAAAGAAAGGCACCTGGAAATCAATTCAATAGACATTTATAAAACAATGCTTTCTGGTCGTCACTTGATTGACTTGTTTAAGATAAAATTTGCACACATTTACATTGTTTCAATTTAATTTGATTGGCAATGTACGTCAATTTAGATTGACCCAAAAGAAAATATGTTTTACTTCGATCTTTCTCTTTCTCTTTCTTCAATTTTTATAATAAGTATATAAAGAGTTGATTTTCAGTAAAGTTATGCCTTTGATTCCATAAAGATCACCAACTTTACTTGATCAACTATACAAATATTTATAACTTTCGAGTGAAATCAAATACTTTGAAATTCTAATTCAAAATGATCTACAAACTATTTATTTTAAGTTTTGTGTTCTTTTCCATGCTCATAAATGATAATCATTGTGTTCAAGCTCAAGTTCGAGCTCAGCCCCGTAAGTAAATTTTCTTAATCAAAATACAGATTGTCGGACTACAGGCTGTGACAACCGAACATTTCAACAAGTATCTGACCAATGTAGGAGAGCATAGTAGTAGTATAGTAGGTAGTAGTATAATCCGACCTGAATCGTGTGGTGGAGGACTTGCTCGCTATCGATGCTGTGAAAGTATGAAATTTTGATATTCTATTTTAGTAGCAATATAAATTAATAAATTAATATTGCTTTTGTGTTTTTTGCCGGGCTCATAAATGATAATCACTGTGTTCAAGCTCAACGTCATACGTAAATTACAATTCAAACTTATAGCCGACAAACTAATTTTGTTTTCAATCTCGTAATAAAATTGCAGGTTGTGTGGATGTACCCTGTTCACCTCGAACTTTGCAGCAAGCAGAAAATTACTGTATTGGTTTATTTCGTAAACTTAATCCCGGTATCAAGTTTGCCGAAATGCGCACCTCGACCCATTCTTGCGGTATAGGAGTTTGGACCTATCAATGCTGTATAAGTATGAACTCTTGAGATTCTGTTTCATTATTAATATAAACTAATAAATTGATTTTGTTTTCTATTTGCAGGACCCTTGTCCCAATAGTAAATGGCAACAGTATTTGGACGAAATGGTTGGTTTGCTTTAACCGATGAACTTGGATGGATTAAAAGATAAACGATTTATGGTCAATAGGACTAAACAAATAATTATATGTTTGATGTAATAACCAGAATAAGTTGCAACTTAAAACACTTCTCGCGATTATTTCATCAATAAAAATTTAATAGCATTATATCAAACTAGTCTATCAAATTATTTCATTAAGTTCTATTTGATAACATAAAGCAATGAACGAAATCAAGACTATTTTCAACTCGATCCAACTCAACTTGATGATAGACAACAAAACTCTTTAATTTGGTTACAAATAACCAACCAGTTTTTGCTAATCAGAATCACCCGAAGATGAAAGACCAACGAAAAAGATTAAAGTTAAATTATTCCATAAAATTATCAAAGATCATTATTATTAGGTTGTAAACAAAGTTTTGATACTTTTGATACTTTCTTAATTTTAACTGATTGTTTAATTGCGAAAATTGCTTTTATTGCGCTGATTTTTATAACAACGATTAACTGAAGTCTTAGCTATCATTTAAACTTATTTAAAAGTAAAAAAAATCAAAAACTCAACGCAAATCACAATTTAATCAATTCACACTTTTTTTAGCATTTTTCAACAATTAAATTAGATCAATGAATTTGATTATTAAATGTTCAAATATCGAAGAGAAATTAGCATCAATCTGAAGCTGAGAATTCAAATAATTTATTGGAAAAAAAATTTTCACTTTAGTTACTCGCATTTTCTAACTAATTTGATTAATTATCAGTTTTGAAGTCAATTTTTCGACAATTTTCTATGGGACTTTTGTATGTGACTTTTATCGAAAATGCGGAAAAATCTCTTCTATGAGAATTCAATGCTAAATCAAATTTCGATTTTCCAAGGATAATTAAAGAATGGTGATGATTAAAAAATTAAAAATCATTGAATAAATTATCTAGACTTCAAGCTTTGGATTGATCCTAATTTTTATTCGATATTTGATTATTTGCCGATCAAAATCAATAATTAAACTTGATTGTTGAAAATAAAAAAACCTACGATGTGATTGAATTGTAATTAAAGTGCGTTAATCAATATTTTTGTTGTTGAAAATTGATTTGAATTAAAGCTTAGGCTTGATTTAATTATTGATTTAAAAAAACAAGAAGTTAAACTTAATTCTAACAATTTAATAATCTTTTGAATTGAGCTGTATTGAGAGTATCAGAACTTAGTTTACAACCTAATAGTTCAAATCATTTCATAATATTATATTTTAATAGAAAATTACTTTGAGAGCAATTTTTTGAATCGAAAGTTGATAAAACTTTCAGCTCATGAGAAATTCATAAAACAAAACTGGACAACCAGATTTTAAACATCGAACTTTGATATTCATAGATTATATTATTAGTTGGGATCCATTAATTAGACTGATAATGTTTTTGCACCAATGACAAGGACATTTTGTGAGTTCATTCAGGACATTCCAGATGATTTTACGAAATATCATGTAAAAGAAAGGCACCTGGAAATCAATTCAATAGACATTTATAAAACAATGCTTTCTGATCGTCACTTGATTGACTTGTTTAAGATAAAATTTGCACACATTTACATTGTTTCAATTTAATTTGATTGGCAATGTACGTCAATTTAGATTGACCCAAAAGAAAATACACTCTGGAGCAGAATTGTAGATACACTTGTTTTTTCATGATAACTTTTTTCAGGTCCACTCTATGAGAAATCGAGTTATATATTGAGATAGAGCACAAAAAAAAGCTTCAATCAAAAGTTTCAATAATTTGGCAAAAATTAATTTCTCTTTCATCTTGTTGCAGGATTGAAGACACAAATATCTCAATGGGAAATACATCGTGAGTTACTGTGACCGCGAAAAATGCTTTCATTTGATCAATCTTTTTGAATGGATGAAAATTACGTTAGTCAATCTTAGAGAAGTGATTCCATTAGTCGATTCAGATGAATTTGTTTTTTATTTTATGGTGTTTCAATCTCATTCCATAGTTTTTAGGCAATTTCAGGATAATTTTTAAATTTCGTAACTTTAAATAGCAAAATGCACATCATATTAGCATTAACACATTCAATTTTACATTCAATATTAGCAATACTATTAGTTTATTTTTTTAAACAGTAAATGTGTCAACTTAATTGAAATCATCAGAGGTAAGAATGAAGATTTTCAGCGCAATGATTGAAAATGCATTAGAAAATGAAAATTGATACAACCGAATGCAATTATACTTAATTGTCTAGGATTTAAAGGCGTGAGAAAATAAAATTTTAAATTTTATAGAATTTCAATTTATCCAATCCCAATAATTCCAACTCCAGATGGGGATGGTCTTGGTAGCGGTGGTAACATCAAAGTGCATTCTTCACCTGATCCATCATCATCTGGACAAACACAGGTTCGTGATCGAGGACCAGACGGTAAACATAGATGTTTACAGCCTCCATTACGGATTCTACATGGATTGCTCATCGCCGGACAAGCTTCGGCCATAGCCACTATACCATGAAGCCGTCCATTTGATCCTTTAGGTATCATTAAGGTTTCTTCTTTGCCTCCATTGCGACCAACTCTGTGGACATTATTCCTATCAAAAGAGCAACACGTTAAAAAATTATTATAAATTATTAATCTAAAATATTAACTCTGACTTATACAACTAAAGTTTGACTGAAAATTATAAAAATTTTTATCAATCTTTTCAATCATTCACAGCGATTCGGTGGTGAATATTTATATTTTAACTCACGTTTCCCAATCTGTCCAAAATATGTAATCTTCAACAATGGCCAAGTCGAAGGGATAACCAGAAGTGTAATGGACTAGTCTACGTTTAGAACCATAAAGATCAATACACTCGATCCTTTTGAGACCAGCATCGGTCCAACACAGTTCATTGGTCATATAGTCGATAGCAAGCATATTTGGCAGTTTAACAGCTTCAGAAACAAGAACCACTCTTCCAGTACCATCCATATTTGCCATCTCAATTTTTGGTGCTGCTCTATTCCAATCAGTAAAGTACATTTTACCTAAACCTGGATGGAGAGCGATTCCTCTAGGATTGACCAAATCGTCGCTGATTAAAGTTCTTACAGAGGATCCATTTAGTCGAGAGACTTGAATAGCTCTTTTCAGCGAATCAGTCCAATATATGTTACGACTTATCCAATCTATAGCTAATCCTTCTGGTGAAATTAAGCCAGTAAGAATTGTTATGTCATGAGATCCATTTAGACCAGCTTTTGATATAGCTTTGTCAATAATGTCTGTGTAATAGAGTGAGCCTTTTGCACAATCGAAAGCAATTCCAACTGGTAAATTATTGTTCAACACGAAAAGAAATTCACCCTGACGTCCAGGTGCCATAGGTAGACGAGCAAAAGACATTCCTTGGACAGCAACTAAATAAGGTCCATCGTACCGATTGTTTGGTGAACAATCGAGTCCATCTCCGGAAAAGCCATTATTACATCGACATTTGTATTCACGAGTTGTTGGAGAGAAAACACATTCAGCATCTCGATGACATTGATATGGATAATCTCGACATGATGATGAAGGTACACAAGTGTAACCATCGCCAATATAACCGGATAGACACATACAACGATAACCCAACTCTATTGGATTGTAATTACAAGCAGCATGAGATCCACAAGTATTCAAAACATTACATGGTATTTGAGTGGATTCACAGTTTTTACCATCACCTTTGAAACCTTTATTGCATTCACATTTAAATTGCTTTTCCTCTAAATTGAATTTACATGCTGCATCTGCATGGCAATTTTTAACAATATTGCAAGGAGCTTTATCGTTCGAAACACAAGTGTTCTCAATCATGGCGAAACCTTGAATACAAGTACATCTTCCACCGTCAACAATTTCTGGTAGTGGGTCACACTTAGATGAAGCCGGACAATCAGAGTCTTCTTTACAATCTGATATAATTGCACAAGTACGTCCATCTCCAGTGTATCCTTCATTACAAATGCATTTAGTTTCACCGTTGGGTAAGTCATTACAGACAGCATTAATATCACATATTTTACTTGTAAAGCAGTTTTCAATTTGCTTTGGCTCGGCTAAATCAATAATTAAAAAATTTAATAATTAATAGAAAATGATTCACTAACATTAATTTTTTCTCTAAAATGTAAACTTACTTGTCCTGATACAGGTGTAACCATCGCCATAATACCCTTGTTTGCAGACACAATATCCAACTCCAGAATTGCTTGTTTTACATTGTCCGTTCTCCCCACAATTGGCATCACTCGAACAAACTTTTCCGACCAATTCACAAACCAAACCATTACCAGTAAAGCCTGGATTGCAAACACAACCATATTCTCTAGTGACTGGATTAATGGCACATTGAGCATTACGATCACAACGTAAATCAGCTGGACAAGCATTAGGTGATCCTGGTTGACCTAAAACGGAACGACAAATGATTCCGTTACCAGTAAAACCTGGTAAGCAAATGCACTTTTTGGATCCATCAGTAGAAGGTAAACAGTCAGCATTAGGATCACAAAATTTATCACCACACATTGAATCTATTTTTCAAAAATGAAATAAAAAATGGATAGCAATTAAAAGACTGAAAATCTGATAAATCACCAATTTGAATAACCACCTTGAGGTCGACATCGGTATCCATCACCGACAAAACCATCATTACAAATACAGCGATAGTTTCCTGGTTGATTTTGGCACCGAGCATCTTTATGACAGCGAGATTGGTTTGTCAAACATTCATCTATATCTGTTAGGGACAAAAAATTAGTAACAAATTTGACAAAAGTATACAGAAATAGCTTACCTAAACACAATGGTCTGACACTGTTTGGATCAGATTGGTCATCACTTCGAAACCCTGGATTACAAACACAACGATAATTTTCCCCATCAACTACACATTGACTGTTAGCACCACAAACAGCGTTGCCATTTTTGCAAGGATTGTCATCTGAAATTACAAAGAAACAACAGATATTAATCTTCAATTTTCACCGTTCACATAATTTTTTCATCCGTATTTTTGTGAAGAAACCTCACCTGGTGGCACAACCGAATATTCAGCCGTAAATCGAATTGGATCTTGAATTGTTCGCACATCAATATTATACCGATTTGCTGAGATTTTAATTGTTTTAACTTGTTGATCTTTTGGTGCATAAGCGCATGACGTGAACTGAATTTCCTGTTCGATTGAAATGGGTATATCCATGGAAGCTCCAGTGAGCCTATATGAACGACCTGATGAGCTAGTGAACATTCCTGGTTCTTTAGAAGCATAAACTTCAATTGCATCATCAAATTCAACTCTAGAGCCCATTGGAATGGCTGGTAAATTTCCTGTTATTACTATATCCATCTTAAGATTACCGAAAACATCAAGTCCAAGATAACGCTCAATAACAGTCACTTGTTCCCCGGTCTGAGGAAAAGTTATTCTAGCAGTTCTATTGAAAACTCCGCCTGTCAAACTGAACCCATTTACAGTTCCTGGTTGTCCTTTTGCAAATAACCAACCAATTAGGTCAGTTAACGGAATCAATGATTGAAAATCACTGGGTTGTATGTTTTGCAATCGACTGATTGTTGTGTAAATTTGACCTGAGTTAACGTCAGCATAGACATAGATGTCAGCGTCTCCAATTTTTTGGTCATTAATTGTTCCATGAACCTGGCCTACCAAACGAATTGGTGATGTATCTAATGTGTCTAATTATTCCAGTGTAGAAGTAAATTAAAGAATAGATTAGTGATAGAATGATGTCAATAGACCTTTGTTCAAGAGGTTCTTCAGAAGTTTCCCTCTTGGATAAGATATTGTAAATAAGACTTAATTATAATTAAGAACACATTTGAAGAGTATTTTTCTACTCTAACATGAGATCTATGAAGCAACAATTATCTTCATGTCAAGACTGTTCGTATGTTCAAATCTTACCTGATTTAATGCACTGTCTTCCGTTACCAATAAAACCTTCTTTACATTTACAGCAAAAGCCAGTTGAATATTGTTCACAATGCGCTTCAGGTGGACAAGGATCAAAAGTTGTTTCACATCGATCCATAACGTCTGATGGTACAACATCAGATTCACGAGATGATGAAGGTCGATCTGGTTCAATAACACCTCCAGAAACACCAAGTTTACCAATACGGAATATGAAGATTCCCGCCTCTTTGATATTAGACATTCTGTATAAGTGATTCAGTATTAGATAACATGGTTCTATGGTTGAAATTGTTTTAAATTGATTCAAGATGACCTACCTATCTAAATTGAGAGTCCTACTGGTTCCTGAGACATCAAGAGGATAAAACTGGTATCCATTTAAGTCAATAAATCCGACTTGCGCTAAGGCAGGTTCACGAGCTTCTTTGGTATCACTTTTGGCCCATGTTATACCTTTTTGAGGGTAAAGGAAGAATGCGTATGATTCCTTGCCGTCTGTCGCAATAACAACTTGAAATGTATTTTTCTGTGTTGAATAAATCATGTTAATAAACTTGGTTTTGGAAGAGTAACAAGTGTTCATACTTTTTCATTGTTTGGGTCAATAAAACTCAAATTGTTTCGATATGGACCAACGTCAACCCAAGTTGCGATGAATAGACTGTTAGCTTGGAAGTTTAAGCCAGATGTAAATACCGAACTGATGTATCCATTGGCAAGGTTCAACTGATCAGGATTTGTTGTTTGTCTATAAAAAAGTACAATCAAAAATACTCAATAAATGTTTTGGTTCCAATAATATTTACAAAAATGTTACCGATAATAAACTTTTCCTGTAATCCGAGTATCGATGTCAGCATAAAAAGGAGCAATCATAGGAATACTTAAAGGCAAAGCATAGTTAAGGTAGTTAGCAGCATCAGACAGGAATGATATAACTCCATTGATACTGACCTGAAAAGGGCAAGAAAATGAAATTTAAAAGCTCACAGGGATAGTTAATAAATAGATGAATTGAAATTGGTTACTTACAAAAAGGAAATCATAAGATCTTTCAAAAAGGATTACATTAGAAGAAAGTTTAATCTGTTGAGATGATCCTTCATCTTTGCCAGTTAACACTTCGTCATCTGGTCCTGCAAAGGGAAATAAATCTTGTCTCGTAATCCCATTGGCTGAATTGATTGTCAAACAAATGGCAATAACGAAAACAATTTTGGCCTGTAAATTGGCCATTGAATTGATTAATAAATAATATAAAAGATGGGGAAGCTCAGAAATTTGAAAAAATCTAATATTGAATGAAAAACATGAGAACAGTTGAAAGTGAACAAAATTGCTGTATCAATGATTCAAGTGGCCATTAAGAAATGTTATTTCTTCTCCTTCTTGCTCTCAACTATCTTTCTTCTCAATATTTCTCTTGTAATTAAATTGATCATCTTGACAGTATCTTTCGAAAGTTAAGGTTCAATTTGAACGAGAGGTTATCATGACAACAGTTAACTATTCGCGATTAGATTTGTAAAAGGTCTTAATATTTACATTAAACCAATTTGTAAACTCAAATCTATGGAAAAAATCAATCAATCCTTGATCATTTCACTTATTTTGTTTAGATTACCCCATGCATCAAGATTTCCTCTCTTGTTTACTACAATCTGTAATCTAAAATAAGCTCAAGCTGATCAAATCAACACAAGCAAAAATATTGAATCAATTTTACTCTTACAGTAACAATCAAAACTATTACAATCACAAAAGCTCAGAGAAACGTAATCTTCAAGATTTTTTTCATCATCACAGTAAAAACTAACATCTGATCAATCAATATTCAAATCAAATGTATTCCAAAATTATGAGCTTCAGGAGCTTTTCATCTATAACATTTTATTATCTTTGGAAATTGTTTTATCGTTCGTAGTGATCTTGGATTAATCTGATTAAAGTGATTCGCCATTTAAATCCCTTCGCCTCTCACAATGTATTAATAACTTTATAATAAAAAATATCGTAAAGAAACGAATAGTTGACTGGATGGACAATAATTGAATTAAGTATCAACTCCCTGCAACCTGTAGCTGGTCAGTTCAAAACTCAAGCGAAGTCCTAAATTTTGATTCAAATGCTAGCACAATGAAATAATTCAACGCAATAGAAACTTCATCAATATTACAATTTATGGAATAATTTAATAGATTTAATAAACAGATGTAACAGCGTTGATTCATAATCTTTTTATAATCGTGAATAACAAGCTGTAAAAAATCGCCAAACAAAATGTTTGGATTTAAAAGATGCATCCACTAAATTGTTAACTGATCACAATATTTTATTGCAAATTTATTGTTTTAAGACTGGTAATTATGATGGCAATTTGTTTATAATGAATATTTCAAAGTGATATCATCATGAAATACATATGAATGAATATCATGAAATCTCTTAGACTCTCATAATATGACAACTCTAATTAAAGCTCCAAGCTTGATAAATAAACCTTGTGATTAAGCAGTAAATCTAGAGTAGATAATCATTTTAACAGGCGATAGTAACTAGATTACAAAGAATAGACAATGAAAATGAATTGATAGATAGGATTCGCTTATTTTATATGTAGATACATTTCATTGTTTGTTTCACAAATTGTCTTAGTTTTCATTCGAAATTCCTTGAAATCATTCAACTTTAGCTTTAAATCAAAATGTTCAAATCAACCAACATTTTAAGGAGCTCAGTTTCGTTACTTCGTCAACCGTTAAGCTGTAAAGATGTGCTCAAATTACAGTCACAATGGATTCCAACAGCAAGTTTGTCAGCGACAGCAAATAGTGAACAATTTAAAAGTGATGTTTTGATTATTGGCGGTGGCATAATGGGTTTATCAACTGCTTTCTGGATTAAACATTCAAGTCCTTCAACTTCAGTGACTGTCATTGAAAAAGATCCAAAGGTTTGTTTGTCCATCGACCAAATCTTCTGAACAGCGAAATGTTAACCAAAATTCTCAAATTGTCTTGCACCAGTACACGACCTGTTCAACGACTCGAGCTGTCGGTGGAATCCGATCACATTTCTCTCTTCCAGAAAATATTAAATTATCCTTGCACAGTTTTGATTTCCTTACAAAAATCAATGATTATCTTAACGTTGATCCAGATGATTTGATAGATATTGCGTTAGTTCGCAAGGGTTACTTGTATTTGGCGACTGAAAGCGGTGTTGATACTTTAGTCAATAATCATAAAATCCAAAAATCGTGTGGAGCTTCAGTTGAGCTTCTTGACCCACAACAGTTATCGGTTCGATGGCCTTGGTTAAACACCAATGGCATTGCTGCTGGTTCTTATGGATTCGATAAAGAAGGCTGGTTTGATCCTCATCGGTTGTTGATGGCTTTCCGTGCAAAAGCTTTAGCATTAGGAGTGAAATACGTCCATGGGATTGTAACTGATTTTTCTTGCTCGTGCGAAACACCATCATGTAAAGTAAATGGAGCCATTGTTGATCATATCAAGCAAAATTCTCAAGCCATTTACTCAGCAGAATCAATTGTCATAGCTGGAGGATCAGAATGTGGTGCTTTGTCTAATAAACTCGTATCACAAAATGCAAAAAGCATTTTATGTCCAGTTAATCCAAGGTTGGTCTAAATTTTTTTTCAGTCGATCTTTTTTTGTATAAAATTTATCTTTTGAATTATAATTCATGTCTTTTGATGACTTTCGTAAAAAAGTTTGGTCCAATTTCAACCTTTGCTGGTTCTCCGATTTAGTAAATTTCTTGTTGCTTATAACAAGTTAGCCAAGTTACATAACTAACCAAGAAAATTTCCTTCTGGAAATTGGAAGAATATTTCAGCATCATTTACAGTTTAGTATGTGTAAATCAACAAATTCGACTTGAATATTCAACAGCTGGATCGTTCTGTTCGTGCTGCTGGCCAGAGCCGAGCCATCTATGGGTGTTTTAAGCTCCAGTTGAAATAAAAGACCATATTTAAAGAAAGTGTATTTCTTTATCAGCATTGACTTTAAATGAAATCTGATATTAGTTTAGTTAATTTCATTGGGATTATGAAGATATCTGGTTATATTAAACTTATTATTTTTGGTAACAATTCTGTTTAATCTCCCAAGGAAACGTTATGTATATTCATTTAAATGCGAAACTTTGAATGGTCAAAATTTTCCAATGCTCATTGATCCATCAGGAGTTTATTGTCGAGGGGATGGAGATAACTATATAACTGGATTATCACCTGAAGAGGTAAAATTAAACATAAACCATCCATTGGACAATATTTAAGTCTTTTGATTTTCTTGTTTTCCATAATCTACATCAGTCGGAAGAGCCACAAACTACTGATTTTGAGGTTGATTATGACTTCTTTGATCAACGAATTTGGCCTCAACTGGCAGAAAGAGTTAAACCATTTGAATCCATTAAAGTACTTTCAGCTTGGGCAGGCTATTACGATTTCAACGAACTAGATGAAAATGCGATCATGGGCCAAGATCCTGTTTGGTCAAATTTATACTGGTTAACTGGTTTCAGTGGACATGGAATTCAAATGGGCCCAGCAGCTGGAAAATGTATTTCCGAGTTAATTTTGAATGGTAAATATAGTACAGTTGATTGCACTCGATTCAGGTTCAACAGAGCGATCGAAGGTGAAAAATTATTAGAAGTAAATATCATTTGAATGTAAACAAAGGCAACAGGTGAAACTGAAAATAAACTAAATCTTTTTTACTGTTGAAGAAGCTTATTTACATTGAACCATTTTTGATCTTGTTAACAGATTATCAAACATTAATAATTCACAATATAACAGATTAAAGAGTCAAATAATTAATTCACGAAAAAAATAAACTCAATATGATTAATCTTGTCAGAAACCTTATGTAACCAGGGACCGAGCAATAATTTACTATATTTTGGTAAATTGTTACCTTTTGCATTTTCCAACGGATTGTACGTGAAGACATTTTTGATTTAACTGTGAACACGATGATTCACTAATTGTGACGCACGCATTTTAACATGTTTTTTGATGAAAGTAAACGCCATTTTACAAAGCTGAAACAACTGATTAAAAATTTTCAAAAATATGATCCAAAATTGACTCTTAATAGCATCAGTGATGTTGAAAACTCTAAAAGAAACTGATAAAAATAAAATCAGTTTTTTTTCAAAATATTTCATTGTCGACAGTACTCACAATCAGCACAAATTTTTTCGTTATTAACCCATAATCGCCAATCTGGATGCCATTCGTTGGCAATATTATTCTGTTGAAGATCTCAATCATCTGAAATGACAAAATTGTTATCCGTTAAACTGGGTAAAATAACAGAAGTCTGAAAATCAGAAATGTAAATTTACTTTTAACTTCATGGCTGTAGTCGTTTTACTTTTACAATACATTCGATGCCACATTGGGTAAAGTCTGTCAACCTGTGGGTTTCAAAGAAAAAAATGACTTACAGTTAAAACGAATCAATAGATGGAGGCAAACCATAATTAACTGAGCAACATGGAAAATGAAATGAAAACCTTGTTGGTAAATGCAGCACAAAAGAAGCTGATCGCCAAAATATCTGATATAATCATAAATCCAAGCCAAGTAATGAGAAAGTCCATCACAACGCTGTGATTACCAGTAAATAGACCAAAGTGTAAAAACCAACAAGACATAAGAGCGATTCCGTTGTAAAAAAACAAAACAATAAAACGGATTTCTCTAAAAGTTGAATCAATTTTATTAAACAACCAAAGAGTTTGTCCGATAATACAATTTAAATCTGTACAATTCCTCTTGTCATTAACCTGAAGCAGGAAACCGGTGGCATTTGTTATCGACTTTATATGAAAATAATGAAGACCCACATAAATACAGCAAATTGAACTATAACAGATCGCTTGAGCAGCAAGAAATATCACAGCTGTCGTAAGTGTAAAACTCCATGGAATCGCAAAGAGCATTGTTTTGAGTGAATAATTGTTATAAAGGTTGCAAAAAAGCTCAAAATTATAAAGAAAGGTAATGAACGGAATCATCATTGGAGTGATCATGTTATGAAAGGCACAGATCAAGTAAATAAAACGGCAAAAAGGTTTCTTTTCAAGTCCAACAAAGGGAAAATAAGAAAACCCATTTTTAATCACAACTTTCAAATCAGAAGCTGCAGAAACGAATCCATAATTATTTTCCTTTATCACAGCCAATTCATGAACAATGTACATAGGAGTTAGTCCAACAAGAACTACTAACAGCAAAACATTCCTGTCTTTCGAGTCCAACAATGGATCGCCTAAATAAATGGCCGTTTCATAACTAACACTGAACAGCAAAATGATTCTTACGAGGTTCACTAGTGAAGCAATGCGAAGCAGTAAATTACCAAAGTCAATTTTCTGTCTCATTTTGATAATTTTGTCGACACTTTGTTCAAACCCATGTCTTAATGTTAAGGTAAATACGACTTGTTTTTCCTGTGTTTCAAGTGATTTGAACGCAAGCTGTTCACAATCGTAATTGTGAAGCCTTTTATCAAAGTTTAATTGAACTGCTTTAATAAAATCATAAGCAAATGCTGTTAAAGGAGAGTTGAAAAATTTTAGCATTTTTGGTTCTTAAAGTTGATCTGAGAGTTGCTTTAATGAGCAATGAGCTAAGTTTGAAATAAATTTTACTTTTGACTCTTCAGGTTAACTTTTGTTTACCAAATTCATTTTGAATGCGTTTAATCATCTCAAGATCACCTAATAAAATATCGATCAATGTGTAAATATCAGTAGAATCATTCTGTGTTTCTTTTTTTCTATTGATCAACTAAATTCATTCTGATTAACTTTGCATGCAAGTGGTGATTACCAATCTAACTTGGATAAAATTATGAAACTAAATTCATCATTGTACAGATAAATATCTTCCAATCAATTTCATTTCTACTCGATGAAAATATCAAACCTTAAAGATTTATAACACGAAATTGAAATTTTCGAGGATTTGGAAATTTTTGCCTGAATAAGTTCAATTCGCTTTCTGAGGAAACAATTTTACCCCACAAAAGTCCTTCTAATGATACAATTTAATTTAATTTTATATGAGTTTCTTTTATAGCATTTAACTCTGTTTTTAAATGTCATAGGATAAGAGATTCAAAGGTTACGCGAGAAAATATTGATTGAAAAATATATCGAATTGGGTTGAAAGAAGTTTTTGAAAAAAAATTAAAATTAGGAATTAAATGGCCTTGCATTTAATAGTCTTTATGAAGCTTTAACATCTTCTAATATTCAGTGGGTTAATCAATCAAGAGTTGATTCTATCAATCAGGATATTCAATTAAATGTTTGAAAAACGTATTCTTTGAATCATCACTTACTCTTCGTATGAGTATCATCTTACAATTGTTAATTACAAAGTGTAGTGGCAATTTCAATTAAAAGTGACATTTCAACTTGAAAATTTCAAGATCAGTTGAAATCTCCGCTAATATTATGGTAATACTTGATGTTCAATGTGTAGCCATTAGATGATATCAGTTTAAATTTAATCTGGATTTTGAAGTCAAAGATGATAAGAATTATTCAATTCAGAATTAGATCTTTTTCTCACTGCTGTCATTCACATGGTTTCATTGAGAGTTTATCGGATCTGGAACTCGGTTACATGAACTGAGTCTTTTATTTAAAATAAATATTGGATTTAGTGTTGCTTGAAATGGATGAAATCAAACGATGAATTAATATATTGAAATGAGATTTAATGATGAATTGATGAGCTTTTAAATCTGTTATAGCTTTGTTTGAGAATACAAATTTACAAAAAAACGGAAAAACAATGGATACACTTTTGGCAAAATAAACAACCATTATAAATCAATGATTAGAAAGAAAAATAATCATGATACTTAAGAATTCAACGAGATAATTTGTTTGAAATCAGTAGAAAATAATTTGTACTGAAAATGGCGTTAAAAGTTTGAAAAAATTCACAAAAAAACAAGTCGATTTAAACAATTTTGACAAAATAATCCTTTAAATGATAGCAATTAAATTACAATTGAGTGTTGCTCAAAATCTCCTGAATCCATCTGTAGAATGAAAAGAATGAAAAGACAAAGATTAATAAATGAAAATCACTATTGTAATTTGGTGTAAAAAAAGGATAAAATGAAATACAATTTGAACCAGAAAATAAATTCAATTGGATAGTCTAATATTAACTGATGGAAAACAAATAACAAAAGATAACTGAATTTCATAAATGTCAATATTCAAAGTGAACCTTGAATTTCATTCTGCTTGGTATCAATTGTTTTTCATAATAAACCATTATTCAATGAGTCACCTTGAAGCCGATTCTTGGTTTAAAGTTTTAAATAATATTGTATTTTGACCCGGATGCGAGAGTTGAAATATTAATCCAGCTTCAGAGGAATCAATGGAACCATCAGTTACTAATTGTACTTGATAACCAAGAATAGGAAGGCTTTGAAGGGCTGCCGTATCATTGCTTTCCTTGAATCGATATAATACTTTTTCTTTGACCACAAACCAAGCTTTTTTCCAGCTCTTTTTGTAGTTCTTTTTGTACATCAAATAGCCACTGATTGAACAATTTTTATCATCAGCAGAGACCTGAAAGGATGAAAAAAAATACAATGAAAAAGTGTGTTATTAAGGTTAATAATAAAAGGTTGATTAAATTGATTTCACAAGGTAAGAGTTTTACGCAAAAAATATCTTTTTAATGATGTTATTGATAAATTAAAAGTGATTCACCATTTTAAAATTGTCATCTAATGCTAATTTACGATCAATTAAGTGAGCTTTTGTATTGTGTGTGTGAGATAATTTCTCGAGCAAACAAAAAATGTTCAACAATCACGTAAAATTATAGTCCAACTTGAATTACTGATCCAGAAAGAAAGGTAATTGTGAATTTGTTGAAATGTCGGTATAAAAACAATAAGGAATCAACTTTTTGAGGAAAAGTGATTATTGAGTTGAGTATCTGATGTGAATATTGTATAACCTAATCAGCTTCATAATCATGATCTTGATTTGTGTCAGTAAGAATTGCACTTGCACTAGTCAAATTAGGTTCCAATTGTACCCAATTAATGGATACATTTTGAACAAGAAATTATCTTGAAAAGATTATTCAATCTAATAGATGTTTATGAAAAGCAAAATGCAAATGTCATCGATATGAAAGATTAATCGAATCGTTTGTGAGATTTTTTTTCTGTAACAGAAATCAGAAAATAATGAATAAACACAAACAAAGGAGCAGCATTTATTTCAAGGATGAACAGGGAAAAACATCATTTAAATGAGCCGTTTCAATTTCCATGTTGATTGTTTCCATTGAAATTGTTTATAGACTTTTTTTACTATAACTCAATGAATCCATTAGAAAGCTAAAACATAAACATTAGCTAAGGAATTTGCACTAATTTTGATCTAAATTGGTTGTAAATATATTATTTTAGGATATAATAACATTGCTTTGTTTGAATATGACTACGAACTGGCCAAATATAATACAAGTATTCAGAGTAATTATACACCAAGAATTCTGTCCTTGAAATTTACATGATTAAATTAATGGATTTTACTTTGCAATGCAATTTAGCTCTGACATTGGAGCATGATTTTCACAAATTGCTAGGAAATGTTTTGAAGAGTGAATAACATCATTTAATTGGCATTTTCTTGCATTAAACGGTAAACAACTAACCTCTTTTAATCGTTGAGGAAGAGATTTTCTTCGACCAGAACTTCGTAAGCCTAGAGGTATACGAACAAATTGTGCCTTTAAATTGTCTAGGTCAAAATTGGACGGAGTAACAGTTGATCCTGTTGAGGTTGCACCATTGGAGTTAACAGAGCCACTATCATCAACCAAATCATCATTAACTTCATCAGAAGAAGCACCGTGATCACGCAGAGCCGTTGTCATTGAGATTGTTAACTTTTTAGTCATTTGATCTTGTAATACTGGGAAACATTGATCACAAACACGAGCCGCTCTAAACTTCAAGTACCTTAAAGGAGCTTTGTTGGATGAACAATCATTACAGACAACTTTACCACAAGCCCGACAGTGATGACGACGGAAAGTAACCGTAAACTCAGCCGAACAAATTTGACACATGGTAACTCGAGTATCAGGTATCCAAAGAGGCGCCTCAAAACCTAAAAGTACTTGATCGCCCACTCTGTCCCCATGTGAACTTGTGTTAAAGGTATTTCGACGAGTCTCGTAATCTTTGATGGCCTTTTTAATTGCTTCAATCCAAGATGCACATTCAGCTGGAGTTTTGGCCGCCACACTTATTGATCGAGATGGTGAAATTATGCTAAACTCATTTTGAAATTGTTGATGGTCAGGAACTTGGACTCGCATCCCTTCCAAGGAAAGTTCATGGTTTAGCTTGTAAACAGTTCCTTGTTGTAATGCGGTCAAATAAATGAGACAATCATTGCATAGAAGAAATAATCGGGGTTGAGGTTCATGGCGAGATAGTTTATCTAATTCTCCGTCTTTTAGTAAAACTCGGCCAGGTTTGATTATCTCGTAAGAGCGAACCAGTGAAGTTTGAATTTTCAGTAGCTTTGAAGAGCTATCACCTTTACGAACAAAATCATTGGCAAAGTCTGCAATTTTGCTGACCAATTCAATAGCGGCAAGTGTATCTTTGTAGTCGGGATGATCTTCGGTTAAATAAGTCTGATATTTTTCCAATATTAATTTATATTGTGGTAATCTTTGAACTGGTTTGTGCATATAATGGCGGACTAGCAATTTATTGCATCGATCAGTTTTCTCGAACTCTTTTAAGGCATCAGCAAAACCTTGAATTAGAAGAGAAGAAAGAAAGAATAAATTAGAGCGATAGTTAATTGATTGGTTGGATGCAAATCACAATTACGCATAATGCTATTAACCTCGATATTGATAGAAAAAAATAAACGATTAAACGATATTTTCATCTTGATAAGGATAAAAATGACACTTTTGATGTCAAAAATGAGTGAAATTTTCATCACACGCGAAGAGGTTCACAATATTTTGAATCATTTGATTGAAAATATAATTATTGTAAGGAAATGCTATTTGTTTCCAAGCAGAAAGTATTAGGTAAAAAAATGAAACAAAGGTTAATTTTGAAATAATAATAGCGAGAGTTTTCCCTTTATGATTTTCATGATGATCATCATATTTCATTATTTTCACGCAAATGAGATTGAACAATAGAAAGTGTAAATCCAATCAAATGGTGATGGGAAATAATGATGATGACATATTAATACTAGGTTATGAATTGGCACTCACATCGCGTAATAACATAATAACAAGGGCTTATGATGAATAGATAGAGATGTACAGTAAAAATTAATATAAAAACTGTTGACAGTACAATATTCAATCAGTTAGAGTCAACAAATCTTTTTTTACTTTGATTAATCTGGTAAAGTTTATCGAGTAATTTATTTTTAATGCTATAAAGTATTAATTTTCAAAATAATAATTTCATGATTGAATGAATGACTAACAAGACTAGCATAAAGAGCCAACTTTATTGATTGGATGAGTTTAAATTTATACTGATAAGTTGAGGGTAAGATCTTGACATTTGAATATCAATATGAACATCATTAAATCCTCATCAAGATTATTTTTTATCCAAATGAAAATGTAAGTAAATCGACATAAAATTAATGTGTGAATATGTATAACAAGGATTGCCCTTGAGAGTGAATTTGAAAAACATAAAGGCTATAATTGCATTGTAAACAATGAAAAATAAACAATTAATCTATGCAATAATAATGATTGGTAAGTAAATTGCTTACCTGGATATTTTTTTGTTGCCTCTTCAAGAGTTGTAACCATGGAAGTAAACTCTTTTGTATAAGGAGCGTGAGGTTTTAGAAAAGGTCCCATGATAATGAGAACATCAGCAATTTTAGGATTACTTTCCCATTTATTAATCCGGTTTCTAAATTCTTCGGCCAACTGTTTGTGATACTCATGTAGTTCCGGAACATATCGAAATATTGAATTGATTATTTCCTCGGGAATGGAGTTACGGATGTGTTCACGAAAATCTAAGAGTAAAACCATATTATTGACAAAATCTTCCTCAGTTTTGGTTAATTCCTGGGCTACTAAGAATAACTTTCGTTCCTGGCGTTTTTTCATTTCCTCTTCAGGGTTGATGTTTTTTTCTCCTCCATCGATCTCAGTGTTAGTTGCAATAATAATTGAATTGGTGGATCCGATTGACCGAGAATCCGAGAATTCCTCTTCTGATGAAATAGGTGTATCTATAGTTGAATGTGGATGAAGGAAACTACCAATTGTGCCATTCACGGAAGACGATTTTCGTCGTAACTCGGGGGATATTGAGATATTATCTGATAGAGAGTCTTCTTGTTGTTCCTTGATTTTCCTTGATTGTGGAGGTGAAGCCTGTGAATAAGAAAAGAGTTAGATTAATATGCTGATTTTAAAAGGTAATTGAGGTTATAATCAACAAGTAGCAAGGAGTAACAATACGAACTGGATAAATTTTGATTTGAGCCATAATTATGTATAGATATTGATTTTAAAGGATAAGCTTAGAGTTGAAGTTGTTCTGAACTTTTTGATGTACACACACGATCAAGTTAACAGAAAATGAAAAGATTTTGAAAGAATACGTTGAAGCGAGACTGATTGATTGGTCTATTTTCTCGATCAGAAAATTAATAACAAAGTTGAATGAGTTAGATGAAAAAAAGAGGTAAATAAAAGATGTTATTAAAGAAACAAAGTGAGAAACAAGTGAATGACTAGAGTAAAGTAGTAATACTAATCAACTGATTTGATTTAGGTTGGATAACAAGTGAGTAATTTGCTTTCCCTACTCTTTCTCACTAACACTCAAAACAAAACTGAACATACTCCATTCAGTACTGTAAACTAAAATGAATGGTTAAATTATACAGAATAGATTGATTAACCTAAAACGTTCGGTAAACTAGCGACATTGCTCTCGATCAGCAGTAAACAAAACCAAAATCGAAGATCCAGATGATACCAAAATGTAAGCGAGTACAAATACTCGAATTTCCTCATTTTAACTGAACTTTTGACGATGATCTAATAGAAGTAATTTACTAAACTTATGAAGTTTGATAACACAAAAACAGTCAACTGCTATCTTTGCCTTTATGGTTAAATATGAATACATGCTCATCAACTATCACAGCAAATATTATCTTTTGCCTGTTTACTTTTTGTCTTTTCTCTTTGAGCTGTTAAATACTTTATATCATTATGGTGATGATAAATTGTACCTTTTCCGGCAGACATTTTAATTGAGTTGTACATTTTGGTGAGCAACTCTTGTCAAGATGAGATGATTGCTTGATACCCGTTGATTCATTTTCTTTTGAGTTGGATTTTTTTAATGTTGCCGGCGGCGATGGAGAGGCAAACCGTAAATTCCGAAGATGAGCAGGCTTGACAGGTACAGGAGGTTTTGGTGTTGTGGCTCTAGGAGTTATAGAGCGTCGCAATTCACCGTCAACACCATTCAATGATCCGGTAGAAGAAATTACTGATGAAATTGAGCTTCGAGTTGAGGGTGGACCAGGAGCAGGACGACAAGGCAACCGTTGTTGAGTGTTAGTTGTTTTTGATACTGAAATTGATGATGTTGATGTAACACAGATTTGATGGCGATGTGAAGGAGAGGATGAAAGTGAATCTAAAAGGTCGCTTTGATGAGTAAGATTGTCACCATCAATAATAATATTGTTGTTGTTGTTTAATGTCAATAGAGGCTTAGGTCTGAGGGAAGGTTTGTTGTCACTTTTTTGACTCATCGATGGACAGCAAGTATCACTTTTATCACCATTTGAGCAATTGGTTTCACTGGTCCCTTCAGAGGTGAGACTAGACATTTTTTGACTTTTCTAGCCTGGATCACCAAGCAATACTCCCATTAAAAAGAAACATTTCAATCAGTTAAAAATTATGGCAAAAATGCAAACATACAATTGATAAACTTTTTAGCTATTAACCCATAACGCCATAGACTTGAGCTTAGCAATTCACACCTTCAAAACACAAAACGCAAAACAGCTCTATAGATGGCAGCATAAACATGGTGTTTTCTGGTTTAAAAGCTGCTTTTACCTCTGATAAATCGCAGCGATTTAATCGCTGTAATGATTTCACATTTTAATTCAATTTAGGGACCAGCTTTTTTCCACCACATCAACCTGTTTCATTCACCACTTTAGAGTGGCTTTTTTCCACCACTTTTTTTCCACCCAAATCAACCGAATTTTTGACCACTTTTACACCATCTAACACATCCTCTTTTGGGATATTATGGCGATTAATAGTGGTCAAAAATTCAGTTGATTTAAGTGGTGGATATGCTTATAAAAAATTGTTTGAAAATGTGGTGGAAAAAAGCCACTCTGAAGTGGTGGATGAAAGTGGTGGACAATTTTGTTGAGAAAAGTCTCACTAAAAAGTGATGATGTTTGATTTGGTTGATTTGGTGGATGTGGTGGATGTGTTAGATTGGGTGGTGGACAATATGGTGGACAATAGGGTGAAAAGACGGTAAATAAAAGTGGTGGATGAAAGTGGTGGATGAAAATGGTGGATGAAAGTGGTGGATGAAAGTGGTGGAAAAAAGTGGTGGATGTGGTGGATAAAGTGGTGGATGTGGTGGAAAAAAGCCGGTCCCTTCAATTTATAATCGATTCTAAACCAAAACTAAAAGTTCTGAATTTTTTAAGAAACAGCAGAAAACTCTTTTCACCCGAATATTTCATCAATTGGTTTGATTTTTAATCTTGAGATCCCAAAAAGGCTTACCACAAGTCAGAGAAAACTCGTTCTTTTTCAAACAAAGAACGAGGGTTGGAACTTGGGTTTTTGTTAGCCAAAGTGGTTAGTGCAAAGAGTATTACTTTTTGGGTTAGTGGCTGAAAGTCGGTTGGTAAGATTTTCCCTTGAGGCCAAGAACAAGAATGATGAGTCAAAACGCACAAAATGAAATTCCAATTAATAATCCTTTGAGGATATCTTTTCAAGAATTAAAGTGAAATTGTTGCAATGAAAAGCAAAATAAAAATCGGTAGTGAATTGATGTGAAACAATATTGAATTTATAATAAACTGATTCATTATTGCAAGTTATTATGAATGGCAACTGATTATTCCAGCTAAAACATTGGTTAATTAAAGTCAGAAATTAAATTATTAGACTAATCAAGACAGTTATATTAAAATATAAAATTGAAAAAACCGGAAAAATGGGTAACGTTCGGTAAACCAGAGATCTGGTTGAGGGAAAGGAAAGAGAGTTGCTTTATGATTGGTTGAAAGGCTGGGTTAAGAGCCAATGACAGGTGAGGTTGCCGCCAAGAATATCAGTTTAAACAACTGTGAAACTGTAAGTGATTCTGTCTTTTTTACTTTAATCTATTTTAAATATATTTTGTAAACTCATCATTGTTTAGTAATTAATTGTTTAATGAGTAAATTCTGCTTTCAAATCGGATTCAATACCAGCAGTTAACTCATAAATCGGTTATTTTTTGGTTGTTCCGGAACCCCATCGCTGGTGGCAACATACTTTTCCTTTATCTATTTTGTTTGGATGTTTGTGATTAGTTTAACGTTTATTTATCTGACTAGTCGTCTTTACCATCTCTGATTTCTCATGGTTTAGTTGAGATTTATTTTGTTTCTTCATTCTCATTGTCATCTCCATCATCACTTTCATCTTACACACCAATCTATTGTGCCTTCTCTTTCTAAACACCCTTGGTCTACACCTTTTTGTTTTATTTATTTATTTGATTTTATATTTCATCTTTTAGATGGCTTCAAGCCATACTGTTGAAAAGAATGACCAGTTTTTAGATGGAGAAAACGTAATTGACTTTGCTCCTACAATAACATCAACTCAATTGGTGAAGCCAAATACTCCTGCAAAGAATACCTCAAGCCACAGACGTAAAAGGTTAAGTCGGGTTCTTCAGGAACCAATATGCAATGAAATAACGAGCTATTGGCGGACTACTAAACGAAATCGTGTGGAATCAATCAACTCAGATAAAGGAATCATGTTGGATGAAGAGGATGGTGACTCGGATTTCTATAATAACGATGCCCGTTTAGATATTGTATGGGCTGATGACAATCCGAATCGCTGTCGTAAAAATGTGATAAATCTCAAGCCCATCGAGAAAGTAGCTGATAAAAAAGAGGTGGAAAAGACTTCTAATAAAAGTGAAAATATGGAAACTTCGGATGGAAATCAAGTTGAAAAAGTTGAGCTCGTTCTCAATAATTTGATCAGTTGTTTGCGAGTCGATCCAACCACCGACATAAAATCTCAATGTGATATTAAGTCTCAAGAGGTGAAACAAAATACTTCTTTTGGATTAAGTTCTTCACAGCCTGTAGCAAATATAAGTGATAGTCGGCATTGTGACGGTGAATCTAAAAACGATTTATCTCATGCAGGTTGCCAGGAAATACTTGCTAGCTCACTTGATGAAGGTAATTTTATAATTTGTAATCTTCTCATTAATTCCCTATCATTAATTTCATTTACTTTTGATTTGCCGAAATAGATATATTTGACAATTTTGATGATTGCGATTGGTTGTCCCAAATACCTGATGAAGCGCTCTTGCTAGATGAAAAAGCTTTTGTTGAGAAAGGAGACAATGGTGTTATTAGTAAAGCATTACTTCTTCCCCGTGAAAATGTCCCTGTTCCCAAAAGAGAAGATGTTATACCAAAATCAAATAGTCAATCAACTACTAACGCAATAAAAACATCTCACGACTCTGCAATGCTTGACCAAGAAAACAAAAATATTCCTAGTGTTAAGGAAAGGAAAACCATACCACCGCAATTGATTCGTCGGTCGATATTGAGCTATATCAACGATAATAAGCAAGGTGAGCCTAAGAAATCTGCAGAACGACCTCCATTAGTGAACAAACCAAATGCTCTGGGAGAAGTAACCAATACTTTAGGTAAAACTTTAGTCAAACCAACAAATTTCGATAATAAGCAGATTCCTGGGCGGACCGGTGAAATCACAGCTCCAAATAAGTTTGTTCAGGCACCAGTAGCAGCACTTAAACAATCAGTACACAAATCAACGGAAAAACCTCCATGTGATATAATTAATTCAAATCATAAGGAAGACGATGAATTTGAGTTTGATGACGACGATGATGAACTGTTTAAATCCATGGATCTTGACCTACCTATGGAAACTCAACCAAATCAAGTCTCTTTACAGCCCAAAGAAGAATCAAATCATATTCAGGAGGCCGAAACTAAAATGGATCAAGACTCTTTTGTATGGGATGAAGATGAAGCTGATGATATATGCCGAAAAATAGATATATCCATTTTTAATTGACATGCGATTATATTCCTATCATCTACTTCTTTACCAATCTTATCTTTTGCATGAGGAATTTTCACATGAGTATTTCTATTTTTTATAGTTTTGATAATATCAAAAAGTAGACATTTGTCAACACGGAAATTTGAAGCGATTGGAAGCTTCAAAAAACCCAATCATTAATTTATCTATTCAAAATTTACATTTTTACTGCATTCATTTCATTCTGCATAGATGAACTCTAAAATTGATCAAATTATGAATTTACTTTGTATGTCCAATTCAATTCATACTTAATATAGTCTCGGTAAATCAAAAATTAAACTGAAAGTCACGATCAATTAGTTTTGATAAAATCTTATTCAGCGAATAAACCACGTCAATTATTCATTCGGATATTTTAGCCTCGAAAGTGGCAACCATCGGTTGAATCTACTGATGAACTGCAAATGCATATTTGTAGTCAGAACGAGATTTTTTTGTGAAAATTCTAGATTGATGAATAATCCCAAACGGCCGAAAAACATAAATAGACAACGGGATTAAATAAAAATATTGTTAATTAATAATCCATTACAAATCCATTGATAAATTACATTATTTAAGCCAAAGTAAACAACTGTATCATTGTTGCTTTTCATTGGTCGCCATCACGCTAACATAATGATACATTATAACCAAGAGGAATAAGCAAATCCCCAAGATGTTGGCAAAGAAAGATAACTGAATGTCCGTAATCATGTTAACGGCAATAAGCTGAAATGAAATGAAAAATGCATGAATCAGTGATAAAAAAGCAATAACATATCTTAATAACACGTCCAATAATGATAACACGTTTCGCATTTTTGAAGTGCAATAAGAAGCAGTGATAGAAATAACAGGCTTACCTTTGTACTTTTATTATTAAATTAGCAGATTAACAATACAATAATTTAAGTTTAAAACAGATTAATGAGATAATTAATTCAAATTTGTTAAAATCAAATCAAGTCAAGTTACAAAAAATTTATAAGAACCAAGATGAAAGAAATCGCCATCTAACGAGATTTTTACTAATGAAAGTTTAAAGATCCTTATTTAAAGTTCGGTAACTAATGACAGCGGATTTTAATTTTGAACACAAATTAATTTAGTTTAAATGCAATTAATCAAGTTGAAAGAAAAAAGCTTAATCGTTATTTCATTTATTGCGGTAAAAATCTATTATTCAACGATAGAAAAGGTAAGCTTGGAATAGCTAGAAAATACGTTCTTCAAGGATGAACGTTGGAGGCTGGTTAGGTAAAGAGTAACTGTCTTGTTAGTCTCGTCTTACTTGTTGTTCATGCAATAAATGATATCATCGGTAATGAGTAAGAATGAATACCAAGATGATTAAAGATAAGCAAGAAGGGAACTTTGAAGCTAACTATTCTGGTGAGACAGCTTTCAAGATAGGATATCATTGGGTATCCATACTGATGGCGACGCATTCAGTTATTTCAAATGCCTGCAAAGGTCAATCATTACCTGATGAAGCCATCAAGATAAATAAATTTTTTCACCCAAAACCACAGCTACAACAAGACAGTTGGTATAATGAACTCATTGAAAAGTCAATTCTGTTGCTTGTTAAATAATGAATTGATTGCAAACACTGATAATATTGTTGATTTAAATGAGGAACTCAAAAATTCATTTCATTTCCGAACTGTTATCATTGCTTTTAGCATAATTATTTGCCAGTTCAATCTTTTGAAACAATGGACTTTGCATGAATCATAAATCATTAAATGGCAATCTATGGTTTTAATTAGAGAAATAATTCAAATGAAATTGCGATTCAAATTCAACTGTTCAAAGATGTGTTCATGGAATCACCAGATGGCAGTGAGGTAACAAGTAGAAGCACGTGATGAAGACAGAGAATGTTGAGAGAGGTTGAAATAAAGAAAGGGAAAGAATGAGATTGAGATTGTTGTTTGTAAAATCTTCTGTTGGCCTCTCTCTTTATCTTCATCGTCATCTTTCTCTCCTTTTTCTTTCTTCTTTCTTCTTCCCTACTTTTTATTTCTTTTTTTTTACCATTTGCTACCTTCATAATCGCCCCTCATCATCCTCACCATCGTTTGTTTTACCACCACCACTACCATCATCATAATCATCTGATTCATTCTTAAACAATGTTTACTTTAGTGCCGATCTAGATGCCATGAGGGAGTACAAGGTTGTCGTTTTGGGTTCCGGTGGTGTAGGCAAATCAGCTCTAACGGTGCAATTTGTTTCCGGAACTTTTATGGAAAAATATGATCCCACCATTGAAGACTTTTACCGTAAAGAAATCGAAGTTGATGGAGCACCCTGTGTTCTTGAAATCCTTGATACAGCTGGAACCGAACAGTTCGCCTCTATGAGAGACTTATATATCAAAAATGGCCAAGGGTTTGTGGTTGTTTACTCTATCACCAGTCACCAGACTTTCCAAGATGTTAAAACGATGAAGGAACAAATAATCAGAGTAAAAGGAGGCTATGAAAAGATACCCATACTTTTGGTTGGTAACAAGATTGACCTGGTTCATCAAAGAGAGGTTTCAACTGTTGAAGGGATGTCACTGGCTCAGGCCTGGGGTTGTCCTTTCATGGAAACATCAGCCAAAAACAAGTGCAATGTAAATGAAGTTTTTGCCGAGGCTGTTAGAGAGATGAGCCTATCCAACTCTAAAGATAAATCTAATCATTGCTGTGGTTATTTGAGAGACTGTGGGTCATCATCATGTTGTACCATCTCTTGATATTCCGTGCAGTTTAACAGCCATTAGACAAAAGGATTTTTCATTTTTTCTAAACAAAACAAAACTAAAAACAAAACCAGGACCTTAAAGATGTTATTACCACTCTTCTCTTTTCCCGATCAACCAATGGAGAGACATTTGGATGGTAAATCTTAAGGACTGTCTTTCTTCGAGTCTTCTGTCAACTTGATACTGTCACCGGAAGTCATGAAACTTTGTCAGAAGTAAACTTTAACTGAAAAGGTTTATGATAAACAAAGAATTACTCTTACACTCTCCTAAGTAATCTTATTTTACCGAAACCCCCTTTTTTCTTTTTCTTTCTTTCTCTTAAATTTTCACTCAAATACATCTCCCTTTACTTTCTCTTTATCATTTATCATCATCACATTATACTTGAAAAAAAATCTATCACATTGGTTAGTACTCTGTCCAAAACAAACAAAAGACACAAAATCAACAAAACAACAAAATGAATCTACCTTTTAATAGGTGGTGTAATTTTTATATCACTATCTATTGGTATTGACAAAGATATCAACAGCTTAGACTGAGAACTTGAGAAATATCTGCTTCTAATTTTCCATTTTTGCCAAAATAAACTTCAAAACAAAACAAATTTGAAAAATTTATATTCGGGATAGTTTTGTTATTAAGGTAATCATGGAAAAACAAAACTATCCTGATCAACTTAGCCTATTATCCATTATTATCTGAAAACATTTAATTGATTTTTTAAATAAGAAAAGTTAATCTTGTTCTCAATATTGTAACAATCACCATAACATTTTTATCACTCAACTAATTAAAGTTCTTTTTGTATTTATATAAATCATTGTTCAATTTTGTAGCATTATTGCACCTTTGTTCATTATCAATGCCTTGATAAGAGCAATCACATTTCAATAGTTACCAGTAAAAGTTGTCACCAAATGAGTACAGACGTAAAATAATTTCAAACATAAAAAAATATTTATTGGTTCATCAAATTATTTTCGGTTGTCATTTATAATTTACAAATTTTATCAAATTGATAGTTTAAACTTTTGCAGAAGTCGATCAAACAGATGATGCCATAATGAAAAACGAGATCAATAAGGTGAGAGATGTTTCAACTCAAGCATTCGAAGCTTTTAAATAAATCTTTGGCATAGTGTTGATTTCCTCATGGCATTCAACAGCCGACTGGATATGAATATGAGTGCCAATCAAACCATTAGCGTAAAAAATTATAATCTTACAAATTTATTGTATCCTAGGCAGCATAGAGAGTAAGAGTTTCAGATGTAAACATTGAATATGATAGCAGAAATCATACAACCCATGTAGATTGTAAGAGATAACCACCAAATAAACTGTTCACGAAGCTTCTGCTCAAAATTTTTGAGTACAACTAAACCTAGGGTTAACCCAGCAGCAGCTCCAGCAAAATGGGCGACATAAGATGTTTGACCATATTCCTCTTTTACAACGTATCTCTCATAAACAGCGTAACCAACATCGGTACTAGCTGAGGACAAAGATTATAATTTCGATAAATATATTGATTTCCATTTCGGTAGTCTTGGTAATATCAAATACTTTTTTATGCTACGTACCAATAACAAAGAGACCGAAAATTCTGAGCAAACCAAACTCCATTTGATTGTAATTAAGTACTACATTGGCAAGATGGGCAGAAAGTAATGCATAAACACCACCAGAGGCACCAAGCAGGTAAACATTAGGGTCAAACACTGAAGTGCCCAAAGATCCTATTTATAAAGTAAAAATGAGAGTAAAAATGTTAGCAACGGACAAAACAATTTCAATAAAAGGAAGTTACCTGCCAACACGCCGGCCATGTAAACGGCACCAATACGCACAGATCCATGAACCATTTCTAAAGGTAAACCAATCAACAACTGAATTACGAGGTTGAAGAACAAGTGAACCCATCTGAGGAAATAGAAAGTACATGCATGATAGAAATGATTGAAATAAAAACTGTGAAATTACAAGAGTCCTACCCTGCATGAAGAACCATGTAAAAAGCGAATCTCCATATTTCTTGTCGTTTATCAGGTCGATAAACAAACAAATCGTCCTTAGGAATAGATCCATCTCCATCAATTATTGAATAATAAGTGAAAAAGGCAAGCTAAAAATTAAAAGAACAAGTTTACAGATTGAATGCTAAGGTTTGATTGATTGATAAACTTACCTCAATCAGTGTCACCGAAATGATAAAGATTGGCGGTGGCCAGCATCTGTAGTTATCAGCATAAAATTTCCGGTCTCTTGGATCGTCAAGAAAATTATCGGCTATTTTATTGACCATGTTTTTAAAAGCATTGGGGCAAATTTGTTTGGTGCTAGACTTGGATGGTTGCAATTTTGAATCAATACAGCTTAAATCTACAAGATCCTGGGTGAACAAATATTGTATGAATTAGTGACATTGAGGAATCTAAACGAATGAATCATTCAGGAAACATGACTCTAAAGTTTTTCCGGTGAACTGTTTTCCGAAACAGGATTCTATTACATAATACCACGAGTGAGACAGTAAGATAGGGTGAAACCAAAACATAAACTTATGCCTATCGTTTAGTGAGTGCCTTAAACTTTAACAAGTTTATTAATTTTGATCATTGATTGGGTGTGCATGATTGATAATTTTATTCACTAATTAAGAATTGGTTTGAATGACTTGGTCTATCACAACTCAATACACAGACGAGCATACTAGAATTTTTGAATCTTTGGGTTTCCTTTGTTCAATTGACCTGAAGGCATTGGGTTAACTTAGATTTTCAACTAATCTTTTGATATGGCTGAGCCTTTCAGGCAGGTTTAATACTGATAAAAGACCGGACTATAAGTAACAAAATAAACCAACTATATATTGGTTGAGAGTCATGGTCTGAGTTACTTTAGGTCAAGCTAAGAAAAGGGAAAATAGCACTTACTCTTTGGTCGACAGCAACTATAAAACTGTCCCTTCTTTTATTTTTCATTATCTCCTTTTAATTTATCTGCTTCATTAAAAAGTGACCCATCAATTGACCATTTATTAATGCAGAAATACCATCAGTATTTAATGCAAGAGATAGAACCAGTGATCAACATAGACCAAAGATAAAAAACAAGACTCCAATCTTAAGCCGGAGACCCGGCTTCACTTAAAAATGTAATTTACACAAAGTCACTGATGATAATTGATCATTTTTTATTAATGAAGGCACATTATATTTTAAAATGTCATATTTTTAATAAAGATTGATTAAATTCACCATGGATTCATAATGAAATATATTAAAGACAAAGCTACAGAAATAGGGTGAGATTTGTAGAGGCAAAAGAAAAGGTAAACAAAAGATGGCAACTGTTCACTCAACTGGTTTACTTTTTGCTCAACTGTGAAAAACTGGATACTTGTCAGTTAACAAGTTGAACCACAAAAATTAAATTTAATCATTAAAATAGTTGTTTTATAATTTTCTAAACAATGAAACTAAAATGCTTTAATGATTTAAATTGTACTAAATTGTACTTCAAAAATTTTTTAACCGACCAACGCAACCGAATGATCTCATATACTAAATGCAGTAACCTTTAGACTTTCAAGTTAATCGAATTGGGATTTTATCAAAGAAATTTTTCATGAGCAAAAATTATAATGTCACATGATTTAGTCATGAAACTTCCATGAAACTTGCAATCTTAGTTTACAGCAAATTTGTCCTTATTTTAAACGACTACCGTGAAAATTGTATCGGTAAATAGCTTTAAAAATGAATTAATTAAATGGTTGAAAATGAGCATAAAAAATTAATTGACCATTTAACCAACTATTGATTTGCTCATCTTGATGAGTGACTTTAAAAAAGATGAGTTGAAATTAGTAAATACAAATAAAGATTTTAAAGGATTCACGATTTTGCCCTTAATCCTTTTCTTCTTTTTCCAATTCTTAGCATTTATTTTTCCAAAATATTAATCCAAGATTTTGTTCAGCTTGAAGGAGGAGCAAGACCTTTCACTTTCTCTATAATTGACCAATCGCTGACATCACGCTGACCAAAGTGTTTACTCAGCCAAGTTTTTCGAATCAACTGACCTGATTAGCTTTGATTGGTCCTGAAAAAGGTGATGATTAATACAGCCCAGTAGAGGAATTTTCAAGTTCAAAGTGCTACACCAGTAGTCAGTTGACCATCGTACCTTAAACATTGGATTGTCACCATTGTACGAGTTTCCTTCACCATAAGTTTCATCCAAGTTTTACCAAAGGTGTTTGAATACACTATCAGCTCTACAAGTTTTAGTTTGTTCAGTGTTTGAGTTATCTGCTTCAAAGATGGATGGTATTCAAAATTTTATGACAAAATCAACTAACAAATATCGTTGGTTAATGGAAAATGGAGATCCCAGGGTTAAAGATTGGCCTTTGGTCGATTCACCTCTCATCACAATTATTGCTTGTGTATTATATGTTTATGGTGCCAAAATAGCAGGTCCCAAGTTGATGTCGAATCGGAAACCTCTTCAACTTCGTGAACTTATGTTGGTTTACAACTTGTTCATGGTCATTCTAAATGGTTACATATTTTATCAAGCTGGGATTCATGGATGGTTCGGAAAATATAACTTGTTGTGTCAGCCGATGGATTACTCTATGAGTGTCGACGGTTATGGAATGGCCAGAGTGTCTTGGGTTTATTTTATCAGCAAATTTGTAGACTTCTTTGATACTCTTTTCTTTGTTTTAAGGAAAAAGAATAATCAAATCAGCAATCTCCATGTTATCCATCACAGCTTGATGCCTTGTATTGTTTGGTCTGGTCTCAAATTTTGTCCAGGTAAAGTCCGATTTCTCTCTTCATTTATATTTCAAAAGTGTTGAATATCTTTGATCAAGGTTTAACAAAAAATTTCAATTCTTTTCAATCTTTAGGTGGCCATGGAACATTTTCTGGATTCTTAAATAGCTTTATTCATATTGTTATGTACACATATTATTTCTTGGCAGCTTTTGGTCCAAAAGTACAAAAATATCTTTGGTGGAAAAAGTACATAACAACCATGCAGATGCTTCAGTTCATCATTGTCTTTCTCCACGGAAATTTGCTTCTCATCTATGATTGCGGTTACCCCAAAGTTTATGCTTATGAACTGATGTGTATAGCAACACTTTTTTTCATATTATTTTCCAATTATTTCAGACAAACATATGTAAAGAAACGAGTTTAAATAAATAGTCATTTTCTACTTTTCCATGAGATCTATTGTTTCTTTGGAATTAAGCTCGCATTGAATATATTCCCTCGGAAGATTTGACATTATTAAAAGTAAAGCGATATTAGTTTTAAGCCTTTACCCCCAGGCCGGAGTTTTAGAGTAATGCAAAATGAGTTTACCATCCGAGCCAAAACAGGAGTAAAGATTCTTAATCTTCTGGTCCGGGGCTGGTGCGAAAGCCTGGTTAATGTAAATAAACTATAAAAGATGAAAGATACAAAAATTAATTCAAAGTATTCCAGAAAAAGATAAGTAATTCATACCAAACATTCATTTCTCTCCATTTTTAGAGAATGTTTAACGAAATTCAAAATAAAACCAATATCTTTTTCTCCTTCCACAAGCCATTTCCGTTTTTTCAATATTGGTGCATCTCCTGTGGCTTTCAATAAAATATCAACTGTTTGACAGAAATGAAAATAAACAGAATTCAGGTTAAAATTATCTTACTCTTATGAATTAATTGTAATTCAGTAATACAAAGAGGAGCAGAAAATTAATTATCTTACTTTTACCAGCTTGCGGAGAATCAGTTGTGTCTTTAGACTCAGATTTATCAGATTCAACGTCGCCTGTTGTAGCCATTGTGAAAATAATCAACTGGAGTATCAATTTGATTCACTAATTAAAATTAATTTTTAAAAATCATACAATTTAACAAGACTATCATATGATGGACCCGAATTGTAAACAAAAGAAACCTCCACCTAGTGAGAAGGGAAGATACCACAACTTTCAAATCTTTTCGTTATTCTTCTGAAATTCAAAATTTCGCTGAAAATTTTGAAACATCGCTGTCAAAAGCTTTTAAAAGTAGAAGGATGTGGATCACGTGTGATAAAAAGGATTCAAGGGTCAACCGAATCAAAATGTGCAGTCAAAATCAAGTTATTTCATCGTCAAGCTATAAATTATTGGAATCATGATTCATGATTTCACCTCATTTTTTACTTTCAACCAACACTCAGAATTAAATTAACGCATGACGATCAAAAATTTTGTTATTATTTGTTTGGATGAGTTAGTTTCGACGTTTCGAGGTTTTCATGAACGAGTGATGATAAGGGAAAAATACAGATCCCACATGCAAACTAAAGAAAATTTATTTTAAATCACATTGCACTTTGTACTTAGAAATTATTTGATTGATGATTTGTTGTCAATTAATACAGTATTTTAAGCCAAGTAACATCTTTTCCTTATAACATGATTGTACAACATGAGATCGCTTAAATATTCCACATTGCAGTCGATATTTTCAACATATTAAACAAATATTGTTCAAAGAAAATGTTCGAGGCAAAGCCTTTTCTGTTTTGCGGCTTCGGACGAAAAGTCATCACATTTATAAGAAATTTAAAGGTTCAGCCTTCTGATATAGTTTTGAACAGGTTATGATGTCATGATATAGACCAAAATAGATCTATTCCTTCTTCTTGGCGTCTCCTCGTTTCATTTTATCACCACTCCCTCCTCCTACACCACTTTTAGTCTTGTCAGTTTCATTTTTTGTACTGAAAATTGAGAAATATATTCAAGAATTAGTTTACACAGGAAAACGTGTTCTTCACAATATAAGTTATACCTTTTTGTGTGAGCATGTTCTAATGTTTCAAATGCATTTCCAAAAAGCAGGGAACAAATAAGATTTTCAACTGGTCGGAATGGATCGTAGAAACCAAAGGTTAGTGATGAAAATTTAAGGTATATGAGCAAAGAGACAACAGCTAGGTACACCAACGGTGTTGATATGTTGATCCAATCTGATTGCTTGTTGACTGTAAAAATGGCTGAAGCTAGAAGAGCAGTTTTAGTTGGACTGAAAAGAAAAGAAACAGTTCATTAATTCAGGGGAATTAATCTGAATCGTTAAGGATAATGATAAGGTTGTTTTATCTAAAATTTCATAAGCTAATAAAGCTGAGCTCTAGTGCAAATGTACGTATAACCTTCGAATGAAAGGTATACTAAAGATATACAAAACTACAAGAATCAAGTCTTCTAATGAAAAGTGACAACCTAACTAGGCTAAGAAAGTTTTGAAGAAATTAACAGATTTGCTTCCTTCTCAAAAGTATAGGAATGTGAAAAATTAAATTAACCCACTATGATGGATTTAGCATCTCAATGATGTTTGGTGTCCAGATTCCTCTAAATAATCTATCCAATGGTCTAAGAAAGCATCCACCGCTCGCTAAAAATAGAAAGAAATTTTGATTAGTTCAAGACACACAATCGGAAATAGCAACTTACCTCTGAGTGCACCAATAAATATAATTATTGCATAGTTACCAGGATATATACGGGCAGTATGGGTAACACCGGTGTATACTACCTTGGCCCTTAATATTTCACGGGCACAATCCAGAAGTATGTAACAAGGTCTTAAACTAATCAGTTTGCATACAATGTCAAAAGGTGAATAGAAGACTATATACCAGGTTAATGTGGCCAGAACAACAGTTTGTGAACTTTTAAAGACATCGGTTAAAGGTTCAGCAAGAAAAAAGTTGGCTAACAAGGAACCAGAAAAAAAACTTAACATTGTTGAAGCCCAACAGGAGAATGGATGACGACGGGAAAACTTGTGAGCTGTAGGTCCAAGCTCTTGACGGATGTAAAGAGCAGTCAATAAACCATGAACCCCTTCAAAATAAGGGTACATGTTCAACTTAATTAGGTGGTTAGCCACCTCCATTAAAGGTCCTCTATCCATTGGAACAATGTCAAAGTGATAGTTTGATTCCAACAAATGAGACCGTAAACCAGATGAAAACGACGATGCCGACCAATAAGTGTTGATTGTCATGGTTACCCTTTCTGGCGCTCAGTGTAATCCAATATTTTGATGACTCGAGTGTTTTTTCAAATTTACAAATTAATACACTCTTGGTGATAATCACATTTTAGCATAGGAAATTGAATAATAATTTAGATAAACAAAGCACTGATCACAAAATCACAAATGTTTTCCTGAATCTGTGTTTGTTACCATAAAAAGCATCAGGTGTAAAATTTAGGTTTTCAAGTAACAGTAACTGAATATTTATTGACCTCACTAAATACAAATTTAGTTTTGCAAATTCGTGGGAGATGAAGACAAGGAAGATGAAGAAGACAGAGAAAAGAGTGAGTTGGTTCAATTTTGGGTTTGCTAAAAATTGCTTATTGCTTTGATATCTTAGGCTGATCAGTTACAGCAAAAGCTGTCTTTTACACCATAAACATTTACTTTGTTAATATTTATTTTTCAAGTTTCTTGATAATCTCAGAACTTTTTTAAATGCAAGTCTCGGATAACCAAATTCAATGGATTAACATGTTGACGAAGTTAGCAGCTGAAAAGCCAGCAATAAATAGTCGAAGAGTAATGGTATCAAATATCTTTTATTTTTTCTTGTTTATTGGAGAGTCAATATTGCACTTGAAGTTACGAATTCAATAATTTTCAATTATTTGATTCACATTAAGAAATAAAAAGCCAAAATTTGGTTGAAATAAACAAATAAATAAATATACGATGAAATGACTCGCAATTCTGAGAAATTATTCAAACATAAAAAAAACTTAAAGCTTGGATTCATAACAATTAGTATTTTTCAATGACTAATATAGAGAATATAAATTATTCAAAACAGCTCGCAAAAAGTGATCAATTCAAGAAGTGGTACTTTGTAAATCAAATGATTCCATTATAACGCTGCATTACAGGATTAAGTGTTTTTCATCGGTGGAAACGTTCTCGATATTGATGTTAAGTAAGTAATATTTTGGTACAAATGGGTACCAAAACAATGTTGCCATATTTATCATTGTTACTTTGAATGTGTTTCTATCAAGTTGTGCGAATTTGATAATTTGGAAACTTCAAAAGCCAGTAATTACTTGGAATTGGATTTTAAACTTGTATTAAGACGGTTGAGCGAACGCAGGATCAAAATTTAAAATATTTGGATCAACATTGGATTATTAAACAACAAGCTGTCTGTGACGCTTATCCATATTATCACGACAAGGAATTAACCAAAGAAGCATCGAACTGGTTCCACAAACTTCTCTTAACCGAACCTTTTTAGGTTTTTTAGGAGATCCTGGCTTATTTGATCGTAACTTGTCTACGGGTGTCGTGCCATTGAAAATTGTTGACATCTGATCAGCCATAACAGCAATCACGAAAATACCAAATAAAAGAGATTCAACCAAAAGAATAATAGTGTGGAGAGCTTTGGTTTTGTCTTGCTTTCGATTATGAAGAAGTTCAAATAAAATGGAAATGATGGTGTAAAATGAAAGTAAAGCAACATACAAAAGGAATTGAAGGAAATATTTTTGGTTCAATTCACCGACACAGTTATTTATCCATGGACAGTGATGGTCCATTTTACGAATACAACGTTGACATATTGAGCAATGGTGAGCCAGTGGAGGTCTGTATGTTTCACATTTAGAACAGACAGACCAACGAGAATCATTGGAACGGTTAAAATCAGATTGAAATGATTCCCGGTCGTGAAGCAGAGCTTCATGGGAAAAATCTAAATTGTGTTGAGGTCGTAAAACTATTCCTGGATCAGAGAAGCTTGCTTTCAGATGTGAACATACCATAAATACAATGAGAATCTGGTAAATTGCACCATTCACCAAACTAAGGAATGAAGGAGCTGGACTCCATGAAATCCAGTAAAGGAATGCATAATCGGAATAAGAGATGATACTGTAAGTGAGTAAAAAACATATAACACCACATGGATCACAGCGTCGCCGGGAAATAGATTTATGGTGGTGACGATTATTAGACAAGTTCATGGTACATTAATTATAAAGTAGATTAATATAGCTGATCAACTATATTGTAAGTCGTTGTAAAAGAAAGGTGTGAGAGGAAAACAATGAATGTAGGTGAGTTGAACATTGATAACAGTTAACACATCAGAAAGCAATAAAACAGAATAGATGATTATTATACAATGATTTTATCATGAAATGTAAATAATAGATTGATTATATCAACAGAGATCAATCGACTAGTGGTGCTATCAGTTTACAAATTAAATTACACTTATTTACTAAAATATGAACTAATTTACGTGAAACATTGTAAAATTATGCAAGAATTGAATTTAATGGAAAACTGACAGATCGACTCATTGATGTCAACAAACAACAGCTTCACCTATTGGCAGAATAATAAACTTGAACACATTTTATTTTGAAAGATTGTATTTAAAAATAATAAACGTTTATTCAAACGATTAATGAAATTAAAGAATTAGTTTCACAGTTTCAAAATTGTAAACAGTAAATAAAATTAACTACTCAATCGCTTACATTATACGCACTACATTTGTTAGTCATGTTTCAGGAATTGCATCTTTTCATGGAAAATAATGAAAGCAGTTGAAGAAACGTAACAATTAGGAATAAGAAACAATTCAAGACAAATTTCAAATTCACTTACTGGACTTTGTTGAGATATTTATTAACAAATCAAAATTAATTGTAAAGATGAATGATAAGTTAAATGAGTGGTGCCAAAAAATGTGACTTTCGAGTTAAAAGTTAGGACTTTGTGGGTTTGTATGGGCATAAAACTGAGTCCATTAGTGCTATTAAAAAATTTCTCCAAGCGATAGTTTTCGAGGTCAAATGCGAAACGGCTGTTCCATTATGGAATCAGATTTTTTTCATGAAACTCATTTTTCTGATACAATAATTGGTTACCTACAATAAACCATAATTGAACAAAAGGTGATGGAAGTTTCAATTTCGATCTCGATTTTCTCGAAATCTGTCAATCATAGAAATTTACAAATCACGCAAATGGACCCAGTTTTATGTCTCCACAAACCAGCAGAGTCTAAATTTGAAAGAAATTAATTTTCGTCCATTTTTCTTACAGCCTTTGTCCCAATTTGTGCATAAATGTGACAATTATGTTAATTGTATCTTTACAAAAGCAAGCCAATAAAAAGTTACAACTAACTCGATCTGACCAGTTCTCTAGATATTTCAGGGAAAAGTTTGGTCTAATAGAAGACCTTGTATTGAAAATCGAGTAAATTATGCTAAATGAATAGATATTATAAACTAGAAATCAACTGAGAAATTGGAATGAGAACTGTTTAGATAACATCAATAGGACTGAAAGCATCATTTTTGGGTGAAATCGAATCAAATATTGAAAAATCGAACTCAAAATATATTTAAATGAGTAAAAAAATAACTTTGGTCACTATGCTTAACCAGGATCGACTTGAAAACTACTATTTTCAATGGAAACGATGCTATTCCAATGCTATTTGGGTAGATTTATTATTATTATTTGATAGATATAAAAAGTACAAACAAGAACACTTGACCGTATATTTTCATTTTAAAAACACATTAATGATGACGATGTGTTGAAGTCGGCTGTTTTTGTGATTGATGTTAGTAGCAGCATGCCTTAATACTGATGAGAAGTAACTTTGACTTTATGATCTAAATGCAATAACGCAGTAAAGCCATAGAAGCCTTTGTGAGAAACAGAAAAAAATATTGCTAATAAGTTATGAACAAAAATAATGACACTTGTTTTCGTATTGATTGACATCTAAATTGTTTTCATTCTGTAAATAATTTAGAATGTCAATCAGCTAAGATGATCAAATGAAAATTCGAGGTGCCTAAGAATAATAATCGAGTATAAATGGGAATGGATTTAGGATCAACAGTTATTCAACATTTGAAGACCAACTTGATCAAAATGCGTTTTACCATTTTTCTTACTCTTTGCGCCATTGGAGGTGAGTTGAGATTAATTTTAAACTAATCACAATTAACAATATTTAACCTTATTTATCTTTTCAGTCGCTTCTGCCAGTTCATTGAACAAACGAAGTTTCATTGATGATATACAGAATCAAACTCAGAATGCTTTTCATGCTTTTGAAGGTAAGTACAAAAATAACAATTGAGATTTAAATATCGATCATTTTACTTATTTAATACATTTCATATTACATTGTATTTAATAATGTTTTTTTGCTTTTATTGACTTCAGAATTTTCTGAGCAAGCCAAACACAATGCTGAAGAAGGATTGAAGAAGTTGTTAGATTTCTTCAGCCAATTCAATCGTAAGTTACTCATTGGAATAGATAGCTTGGAATTGAAACCAGGAATTGTTAATTAATCATTTCATTTGTTAACACAGCCCAATCTGATTCCTCAAACGCCGTCAATGTAACCAAACGTGCAGTGACTGGTGCTGATCTATTGGCCAACATTGGTAACCCACAAAAAGCCCAAGAACTTTTGATTCAACTTTTCTTTGAAAGTTACGGTAAAGGACGCAAAAAGCGAGATCTTGCTGAAAATATTCAAAGTAAGGATAGATTTCATTTTTAATTCAATTGTTGACTGATTGCTAACGATTTTTTATTTCAGAGCTTACTGGACAAGCTAAGAAAAATGCTGAAGAAAACTTAAAGAAGCTCTTCGATTTCTTCAACCAACTCAATCGTAAGTTGCTTATTGTAATGAAAAGCTTAGAGCTGAAACAAAATTGTTAACTAATCATCTCATTTGATAAACAGCCCAATCTGGTGATTCCTCAAACGCTGTCAATGTAACCAAACGTGCAGTCACTGGCGCTGATTTATTGGCTAACATTGGTAACCCACAAAAGGCCCAAGAACTTTTGATTCAACTTTTCTTTGAAAGCTATGGTAAAGGTCGCAAAAGGCGAGATCTTGCTGAAAACATTCAAAGTAAGGTTTCATTTTTCATTTTTTATTCAATTTATAATGAAATTTATTTATTAATTGTTGATTATTTTTTTTTACAGAGCTTACTGGACAAGCTAAGCAAAATGCTGAAGCAAATTTAAAGAAGCTCTTCGATTTCTTCAGCCAATTCAATCGTAAGTTACTTATTGAAATATTAGCTTGAAGTTGAAAACAATTTTAACTAATCATCTTATTTGATAAAACAGCCCAATCTGTTGATTCATCCCAGTCGAATGATACACTGACGCCATAAAATGAGCGCACAGAGAAATTGTCAGATTTGGCGCAAATTTTGCGCTAACGCTGATTAAATTTCAAGCAAAAAGATTCCTCCACCCAGCCTCGATCCCATTCACTCAATTATTCATGTCCATCTCCTTAACCACTGAGCTATGATAATTATTTAATAGATACAATATAATTAATGAGGTCTATCGTGAAAACAGAGATTAATACTTTTGTTTAAATGCGTTTAACACAATCAAACGCAAAAGACAAATGACTCTGGCGTTTTTTTTTCAAAAAATATCTTGGTGAGCGTGAAACGCGGCTCAGTGTAGCAGTTTTCATTCGACTGGGATCAAACGCTGTCAATGTAACCAAACGTGCTGTCACTGGCGCTGATTTATTGGCCAACATTGGCAATCCACAAAAAGCCCAAGAACTTTTAATTCAACTCTTCTTTGAGAGCTATGGTAAAGGTCGCTAATGATTTTGCAGTTAAAGAAGCCAAAGCGACTAACGCTGACTCTTCATTAATCATTCAATATCATGAAACTTGTAACCAAACTTGCTATAAATAAACTGACTTATTAATCATTTATCTCATTCAAAAATTATTCATACCACGATGCTACTACAAGTACTACAGTATTACAATAACCATTCATAACTTCAATTGTGGAGACATTTGCGGAGATTTGAAAGAACTATCAGTAAACTTGGACATAGAATCGGAATCGGTTGATGTTGTTACATTTACTTTTTGCCTTCATTCGGTTACGAATGCTAACAAAGCTTTGAAAATGTCAGTAAAATGTTGAATTAATTACCGATAATACATACATTTATAATCTTTAAAAATGATTCAGTAAGAAATCGACAGTAGTACATTATAAGGCTTGAGATGATTTGGTTTTGATTCAATTCAAGCAAATTATTATCTAAAATTATTATCCATTTAGTAATCATTTGAGTCTATTATGATAATAGCGGCACATGCCATTATATTCATTGTATTTCATTGTAATTATTAAAATCAAACAAATAGATGATTATTTTGATAAATGTGATGGAAAGAGTCATTAATATGTCCATGATTAGCGATTACAATTTATAAACCCATCAGTTATAATCGGCATTTGGTTTACAATATCGATACTATCGTTTAGTCACATGTTACTTATAGACATTTTTTATTGCAATACAAACAAATGTTCATTAATTTGGTGATTATATCGCAGTTAAACTTCTGTTAGTTTCAATGTCTTCAGGGGATAGCTCGAAGTGTAAACTTTCTTTGGAAATTCCATTCAAATCGGAACGTGATGCTGTCATTGCTTACAATAGTTTAACTGTGGATAGTGAACCTCCTCGATCAACAGTAACAAAGACTATCAAAACTTGCGACAACAAGTTACTTTGTAGTTTCACCTGTGATGAAACTCGAGCCTTAAGATCCAGCATCAATAGTTTCATGGATATGCTTTTATTGGTGGAAAAGACGATCAATAAATTTGATATAGCAAACAAGTGATTTATTTAACCCTGTTTCATTGATCGACATTGACAGTCAAATGGGTGAAGAGGCTTTACCTTTACCTTCTCCTGGTCGATGTATTTATGGCTATGCCTTGTACATAATATCTAATTGTTTATTAATTCTTTACTTGGTCATTTCGTTGGTTCCTGATGAAATTCTTGACTATTTCAACTTAACTTATCTACCTTCAAAATATTGGTACATTGCTATACCTACCTTTCTCTCTACTTTAATTGTTGCGTTTGGTTTTGTGATTTATCCTTCTATTGTGATGTGCCTTACTGAACCTCTAGATTCGGTCCTTTTGTTTAAAGATGAATTTTCTAACCCAAAGATAGGTATGAGTTTTAATCATTTCCATTGATTGAGAAAACTTATCCGCTTTGCCTTTTTTGTAGATATTACGTGTGGCAATAATGAGGAGGATATACCTGCGGATATCTCGTCAATCTACGATATTCCGGTTGAGAAAGTCACTCAATTAACTTATTTCAAACAAGAAATTCTTCAAAACATTACCAATTCTGTATAATCGTGCTATCAGGAATTACTTCAATTACTACAAAACCTTTAATGAATAAACTAAATTGAAACAATTTCTAGTCACTCGAATACTTATTTTTAAAATCGTAAAATATTAATTGTATGTGTGTAATTGAGCTTGGGTAATGTGAGAAATTGACTTTAGTAACATGAGAAATCAATTTCAAGTGAACATAAATTTTAAATTTATTCAAAAGATCTAATCACGAAATATAACACTTTAACCTGGCCGAATTTTCAGACTAAGCAATAATTCACAAGATTGAATATAATCTGATCTAGAAACGAGCCTCCAAGTCTAATCTGGTTGGTTTTTCTGCTTCTTCTATTGCTTCTTTAGGAGTAGTTGGAGGGTAAATAGCTCGTCCTGAATTACCGTACCACTGAGCCCAATCAGGGAAAGTCATGGCAAATGTCTCTAGTGTATGCCATTCAATGGGCCACATCTTTTCAAATTTGGCAATCTGAAAGTAAAGAGATAGAAATGTATATTGAATAAATTGCAGAATTTAATATATTAATTGGCTTACCATTTGTCGACATTCATCATTTCTCTCCTCATAGAAAGCGATCATTTCTTTTGCAGATTCAATGGATTCTTTTTCCATCTTATCAATTGATGATGCCAAAGTATCTTCTGGATAAGGAATTTTACTTAAAGCAGCTTTGTAAGAGGCTTCTAATTTGTCAACAATAGCCTTGTTTGAAATAGTAGCCTTCATCACATTCCAATCAATAGCTGGTGGAGCTTCAGGGAATTCTTGAACTCTGAAACAGAAGTATAAAACAATAAATAAAATAACGAATAAAAAAGGACACGGATAAATCTAGAAAAATACTTACTTTCGCAAATAATTATCAGAGGCAGCCTTCAATTTTTTGAAAGATTGTTGCTTGTATTCACCAGTGAGAGCTTGGATTTTAGCCCAATCAGTAGCCGCTTTAGTAATCCTTTTAGCAGACATGATTAGATGAATAAATTAAAACAGACAAATTACCAGAAAAAAATGCAAAACTAATTAACAGTTTATCAAAACAAGACAAGAAGGTGACCCACGAAGTCAGCTGAATCCAACTTGCCGTTAGATGGCAGTCCATTCAGGAACAAATAGTATCGCCATCTACAGTTATAAAAACAACCCTAAAAATGATTCACTTATTAAAAAACTTATTTTCTTGATCAAAAATAAAACCAAAGCCAATCAACCAAACTGACTTATAAAAATGAACCGAACTCAAGGAATGGCTTTTTAAAAATCTCAAACCATAAAAAAGTATAAATAGAAGAACAGAAAACTCATAATCAATTTTAAAAATAAAATAGTCCAGTCTGAACATCTCAACACAAGCAATACAAGTTGTGATGAACCAACCAGTTGACCAAAAAAGCTATAAATCTTTGGTAAAAACATCACAATGACATTAGTACCCCATAATTATTACATTTATATTAATAAATATCTCTGATAATTTTATTGCTGCCATTAACATTAACAAAATAAAGTCAATGCTTCAAATTTTTGTATAAAATTGTATGAAAAGGAAGCAAATATTTTAAGTTTGATGAAGTTATGGTTTTTGTTGGATCATTAATAAGTGCCGAAACTTTGATTTCGAGTCCAGAATCGCAACCAGATAAACTACGCGGACATAGGAACTGAAACCATTTCTTGGTTAAAAAATTTCTTTGATCGAAGGTTTCTGATGGGATCACTTTGAAAGTTTGAATTGGGACTGCATCTTGTTCAGTCGTAGAACCGGATTTTATTTCTAGCTTTTCTCATTGACGATGATTTTCATTAATAATTTGAGTCTTTGCATGCAGATTGAATTTATCGGTGGAAAGAAATTTCACAGTCATGATACACCGTATCAGCCTCTAGTCATAAACAAAAATCAATGTTCCGACTTGTAAAGTCATTTACCATAAAAAAGGTTGATAAACTAAGCATTAATTTGATATTAAAACATGAAAAAAGAATGGGAATAATTATTTAATTACACCATTAAAGTCAAGTTTATTTTATCCATTTGTAAACGCAATCATCAGTGAATTTAATTGATTATCAGACAATGAGAGTGAAATGGACTCATTAATTATTTAAGAAGCAAACTCAGTAATATTAATGATGACAATAATTATAAGTAAAAGTAAAAAAGTAAATCAAATTAACTTGTAATTTGCATGTTCATTGTTGGAGAATGAGATTTGCAACTGAAAAGACCAAACCAAACTTTAGACCAACGAGTTTAAGCTCAACTCAACTTTTCATTTTAACCTTAAAACTGATTGTAAATCTTTTAATCGTAATTAATGTTACAGTTGATCAAGGAAAATGTTACATAAGACGAGAAATTAAACCGCATTTTATCATCGACTGGGTTTTCATGTTGCTGGGAGTGAAATAGGAAAGTGTCTTGCGTAGTTAGTAAATTGTCAGGAATAAGGTTAGTAGTGAATGTAATAGGATTGAAGCCGAGGGAGTTTAGATGATGACAATGATGAGAATGATGATGAGAATGAAAATGATGATAACTGTAATGTAAAGTGATGGGAAAAGCAGAGTGTAACTTTTCAGTTCAACTGAACACATGATAATATCAGTTTTTGGTTTCATCTTTACCAATGAGAATTACTTTCAACATGTTTATCATTGTTACTGTTTATTACATTTGTTACCAACACTTGAAATGATTATTCAACATTCAAATTGAAAACAACAGTAAAAAAGGAAACATTCAACATTGATTCAGTTAACAAGTGTTTTACATTTCATTTGTTTCCAGTTGCAGTTGGATTACATTGTTCAAGTTTTACCAATATGAAAAGATTTAGTTGAGTTTGTAAGATTGGTGAAACAGTTTTGGGATTTGTTTCATTCCCATTTTTGGCTTTACTTGTTTTAATTGTTGCAATTTAAGGGAAATTAGTTTCATTTAGAGTTAGTTAGATGGTCAAATGTTGCAAATGAAAGAGAGAGGAAACATTTTGTTCATTTGTTTTGTGACAATTGTTTTCAACTCGACTCTTCAATTGATTAAAATTGTATTCATTTTATCGTGAAATTGAAGGCTTGTGTTAAACATGTTTACATGTTGATGTGTTGATATGGTTTATTACATTTACGGTGATTTCAATTCAAGTTCAACTCAACTACCAATGATCATCTCAAGTGATTCCAATCGTCTCGATGATTTAACATCAAGTTATCCACTTTTTCTGTTAACCTCATCTTCACCCATTGAACCACAAGAGTTGAGTGTTTTCATATCGAGTTCAACCAATGTCAACACAAATGGCCATCCAAGTCATGCAATTAAACCTGGCTCTGGTGTTGCTGGTGCCAACTTGGGTGAGATATTTCACACCATTGGCATTGGTGTCACTCTGGCTGCTCTTATACTGGCCACTATAGTGGGCAATGTTTTTGTCATCATTGCCATTCTAATGGAGAAAAATTTACGTTCTGTTGGCAATTATCTTGTTCTGTCGTTGGCCATTGCTGACCTTATGGTAGCTTGCCTTGTGATGCCTTTAGGTGCCGTTTATGAAGTGTCTGGTGAATGGATTTTGGGTCCTCAATGGTGTGACATTTGGACTTGTGCCGATGTCTTGTGTTGCACTGCTTCCATACTTCACCTCTTAGCCATTGCCATTGACAGATATTGGGCAGTGACCAACATTGATTACATTCACAATCGAAATCCAAATCGAATCGGTGCTTTAATCATCTGTATCTGGACCATTGCCTCCATCATTTCAGTTGCACCGGTTTTGGGTTGGAAGGATCCTGACTTTGAGAAGCGACTTCTTCAAGAAAAGAAGTGCCTAGTTTCACAGGATGTCGCCTACCAAATCGTTGCCACTTTTGCCACCTTCTACGGTCCACTTGTTTTCATTCTACTTCTTTATTGGAGGATCTATCAGGTAAAATTCATTCAACATTCAATATCGAAATTTATTCCAACATTTGCTTTACATTTACTTTGGAAAATTGTGAAGAAAAAAAATCTAAAAAATCTTTAAACAGAAACTTCCTTCCGAATTTTTTTGTCAAATTCCAACATGAAATAATTCCGACTTGTCGAGATGAAATCTCTAAGTTTCAGACTCTTTAGTTTAGAGTCTATCAGAATGCTTTCCAAATCTTATCAACAGAAATTTTCCTCTTCACGCTTTTGCGAAATTTCAACATAAAGTTCATTCGAATCGAACTCAGAGTTTCAAATACTTTTTGGACTAGATTAAAATCTTCTCCAAGAAATTCTAATTTTACTGTTTTCCATGTTTCTGCGATTTTTTATCAACTTTTCACTTTTAATTTTCGAACGAAATGTTTTCAAAAATTTCCTTTTCGTCACAACTTTTTGCAAAATAGCGATGAATTTCAATCTTTTATCAAACTGCAAACTCAATTCCCTGTGATCGACTTTTGGGGAATTTCAATTCATGATAAACTCTCACGTTTTTACCCAGATTATGTGCATTAGTACAATGATAGCTATTTATAAAGCCTTGTTAATAACTTAATTAATCAAACAATTTGCATTTACTTTATTCAACATTAACACTTTATCCAACCAATTAACACATCATGTAAGTTAGAGGATAAATTTGATAGCATTGAAACTGCAATTGACGATTGATTGTTCAACATCAATTAGTTGACTGTTTATCCAATTTAACCCTTTTCTCGGAATGAATCAAATTTCCTTTAAATGATGAAACAAATTGCAAAAAGTTTACTTAATTAACTTTATGGTTTTCCTTAATTCCAATAGACTTAATTTTTCTGTTATAACATTGAATTAACTCCAAGTTTAAAATTAAACTTCATTTCTATTACTTTCAGTTCAACCCTAACATTAAAAGCAAATGTTTAAAAGTAAAATGTAAAACCATTAACATGTAAACAGAATCAATTTAATTGTTGATTTTCATTATTTCATTGAAATGTTTCATTTTAACCTTTCAAAACAATCCAACAATTATGAAAGCTCACTAATTGTAAAGCAATCAGAAGTGACATTTGTTGAGATTTGTTGTGAAGTGAAAACATTTTGTAGTGATTTGTGTGTTAACTTGAAATTCATTAATCAAACAAGCTTGCAGTTTCAATTGGTGATTAAGTGTTGATTTAAAATATTATTTGTTTATTTAAAGCATGTGAATAAACTCCAAGCCAAATGCAAGTTGAACAACAATAACAAGCAAAGTGACGTTACTGGCTAATGATTTTCAATGTAAACAGGAAATTAGTTGATAGTTGATGATGGTGATGATGATTGTTCATGTTTACAACTACCTTTAATCATAATTATTTATCGATATTTTTACACCAAATTACATGAAATGAAGTCAGGAAAAGTCAGGCAATAAAGTTATGAAGGAAAAGTCAACAAATTTTAAGGGAAAAGCAAATGAATCAAAATGGGTTAACCATATTTTGAATAACTTTGAGGCTCAGGATTGGAGAAGAAGATGATGATGACGATGAAGATGATGAAGATGATGATGATAAGGAACAAGGTTACTGCTTAGTCAAGGTTTCCTTCAACTTTTTTTGCTTCTGAAGCAGAGAATCAGATGAAGATGGTGAAAGTGATTCACTTCTAGTTTCTTAACCAAACTGAACCGAATATTGGAAACTCTTTTTTTCCTCCTTTTTGCTTTTACTTGTTATTTGCTGGTTACCTTCATTCATGGTAACCATGGTATGTAAATAAGGTAACATTGGTAGTCATTTAAACCTCATTAATCAATCTTTCGTCAAAACTGTTTTACATTCAATTCTGCTTTTTATTGTTATTGCAACAATATGTGAAAATAGTTACATTTTGTTTGATTGCAAATCAGTTTCTTCAGGTTTAATCAGAAGCGGGTTGCAAATGATTAAGTTGATGAACCAAAGATTATTGCAACTTTAAGTAATCGCTTTTGTTCATCGATGTTTGCTTCAACCAATTTTGCCTGAACAAGTTGAAGGTTGAGTGAAGCTTGCAAGGTTAGAAGCGGGTTAAAAGAGGTAAAAGTTGTTCTTTTGTTTGATTACTTTGGCATATTCATGGATAGTATTATACCTTTAACATGATAGATCATGTTGACAGGAGAAAAGGTTGCAAAATTAGAGGGAAAATTCTGTTTTCTTATTTTCTTCCTTTTTTTGCATTTTCCTCTCTAAATGCTTGGAAAGTTTTTCAAACTAAAAGGGTTAACAAGGTTGAACTTCAAAATAGTTTTCTCTTCTTCTTCTCAACCTTTATTTCATTCTTTTCTCATTCCCTGGTTTTGGTCAGCATTAAGAAACTAAATGAATTCTAGTTTATTGCTGAAGTTAATCGAAAAATTCATTTAAGTTTTGATTTAAAATTACTTTTAAATGAACAACTTTGAAAGCAAATGTAACTAAGCAATAAGTAAGCCTTAAATGTTGAATATTGCATTCATTGTTATACTTTTTTACTTACAAATGAAAAGCTTTATAATCAAAATTAGAGAGATTAAACTCTGAACATGAAATCTCTGAAAGAAAAACATCAAATTCTCTGTAAAAGTACTTAAAATTTTCAATGAATAAACATTGATGATAGATTTAATTTCTGAGAAGTTGCATGATAAATTCTGATTCAGCTTACATCAATCAACAAAATGCAAATAATTTTATCGTGAAAAATGAAAAATCATTGCAAACATTTAGAGAAATTTTTCAGTCCAAAATTTCCTAATTTTAATTTCGTTTTTGACACAAGTTCAGTCTTTCAATTGCGTCTACTCATATTGAATTTGGTTCACATTTATCTTTTGCTATCATCGAATCACGCTCTTTCTATGCGTTACAAAACTACGATCTTAGTACCGAGTGAAAGATTTTGGATTATATTTTCTCTTTAAAAAATCAAAATCTAAAGAGTGAAAGATTAATACAGATTGGATAGTGAAATAAGTCTGTTTGGTTATATAACAGCTTTAAGACATTTCCATTGTCTACGACCACACCAGACTGAAAACACCGGATCCCGTCCGATCTCCGAAGTTAAGCAGTTTCGGGCCGGGTTAGTACTTGGGAGGGAGACCACTTGGGAACCCCCGGTGTTGTAGACTTTTTGCAGTCGAGCAATCAAAATTGTCCGTTCGATGGTCTCTCCATCTTTTATCAATTGGAATAATCGAATTTAACAAAAAATTTTAATCGATTTCAAAGTTGATTTTTGACTTTTTTTTATTAAATTTACCCAAAACTGCGTTTTCAGTAGGAAGTGATCTGAAAAATATAGTGACGTAATATGCAAAGTTACTTTAATAACTAAAAATCGATAAACTCCTGACGGATGATTAAACGCTAGAATTTGGAATTTTCCTTTTCTAATTGCAAACTAATCTACCTGTAATCTATCTAAAGAGTGTTAAATAATGAACTTTAAACGCATGAATGACTGTATTTTTGTTTTCTTATTGTTTATCAGCATCTTGACTTCTTCTGAATGATGATGAAGATGAACGCAAAAAAAGATCACAGCAAGTACATGCCAAAAATGCGAACTTTTTTCTTGCCACATGCGGTCAGACGAAAGTAGAAAGTTGAGAATGACAATTCATTACATTACCAACATGTCTAACTTACTTTTTGCATCAGATGGCTTAGCATCTGATAACTATTCCGAAAATTTTCGAATATCCTCTTTAACATTCTGAACTACTCAGTGATGAATCCTGGATACATCGTGCATTTCAGTAAATATCGATAAATCAGAAAAAGAGAGAGCAATCAAGAAAACCAAATTGCATAAAAGAAAGGCAAAAAGTATTTAAAACTGTCTCTAAACGCTAGAAAAATTATTCTCACACTTTGCATAAAAGTCGAAGATAAACTTTTCAAAACTTGGTTTTCAGCCGCTAGAATCACGTACACCTGGTATTTAACCATCTTAAAATGAATGAATCTACACTCAGGACTAACAGAATAAAAGATCGCAATCTTCAAGTCTATATGCATCAACCATAAAAAATGAATCAAATGCCTAAAGTTCATTGATTAAAAGCTGTATTAGTCTGCCTAGAGCAGGACGAACTGATTTTGAACAAGCCGCGTTTTGTTATTACTAACTTCTCAGGCTACGCCTATGGCTTTTTTGTAGCTAAGGAAACGGAAAATCATTTCCCTCTGTTGATTGTAGTAAACAAATATGGATTACAAAAGTGCTCTAATCGAACAAATAAAAACCGAACATCAACGTTCTTTTGTCCTGTTTGGTGTACTTTCATCTCATTCAAACACCATCATTCACCAAAACCTCAAAAAGTTGATTGGAAATAAGGCGATAAGTAAATCGCAAGTAGCCAAATACGCAGCTGAATTCAGACAAGGCCAGCTTATTGACAAACGTGGACATGGAGGAGACAGGACAGATCCTTCAGCTTTGAAACGAAAAGTGGCCAAAACTTCGCATCAAAATAGCCTCTAATAAGAAAGTTATAAAACCAAAATCAGTTCGTCCTGCTCTGGACAGCTAATGTCTTAAATACTGTGTATGTAATGTATTAATATTAAAAAATCGTTCAATTCCACTTTAATAACTGTGTGACATTATTCAACTTTAAAGACAAAACTAATCGGTAATCTTTACTCTATTTCATCAATACTTATGCATCTTGATTCAAGTTAATCTGAATAAAACAATTGGTTTGATCATTGATTTCGAATGAATTGAGTGTAACTTTTATTTCCAACAATGCATTTACTAATGAAGATGTGATCATTTGCAGACCAAACTTTAAACTGTTAATTGATGTTTATTAAATCAGTATCATTTGCAACTAATTAATTGTATTGTATTCACTTTCACCATTTGTATTCTTGGACTGATTTCCCTGCAGAATTGGGTTACAAAATGTTTTAAATGAATAGTCTTTACTTTTAATTTAATTTG